AGACTCACCATAAAAGTCCTGTCTGTGAGGTAGGAAGTAAACCAACTGTGAACAGCACCAGAGAGGCCGATCTGTTTTAAACGGGTTAAAAGAATAGTGTGGTCTACTGTATCAAAGGCAGCGCTTAGATCCAGCAGAACCAACACTGTTGCCCTCCGGGCATCATAATTTGTTCTAAAATCATTTAAAATCTTCAGAAGGGCCGTCTCAGTGCTGTGGTTCACTAAAACCAGACTGAAATTTCTCTAGGACATGTTGGTGGTTGATAAAAGCATTAAGTTGTATTAAAACACGCTTCTCTAAAATTTTGCTTAAAAATGGTAAGTTGGATGCTGGTCGAAAATTGTTGAAGTCATTAAAATCTAAATTGCTCTTCTTCAGCAGGGGTCTGGTCACTGCCCGTTTAAAAGCAACAGAAGAGACCCCCGTCTGAAGGGAACAGTTCATCACAGTTAAAATCTCATCTCTAAAAGAGTCATAAAATTGTTTAAAAACCCTTGTGGGGATAGGGTCCAGAACACATGTGGTGGGTCTCACTGAGGAGAAACTTTATCAATAATCTCAGCTTCAACCAAGACAAAACTGTCCAGTGTTTCCTCAGGTAGACACACACTCTCAGATTGATCAGGAGCAGCATGACATTGGGAGGATAAAATGTTACGTCTGATGGTGTCTACCTTCCCTCTGAAGTGGGCTGCAAACTCCTCACAGAGAGCATTCAAGGGGGTTTTCTGGAGAGAACTAAATTCACGACCCAAAATATTTGTAATTGTAGAAAACAGAATTTTGGGATTATTTTTGTGTTCAGAGATGATTTTAGAAAAGTAATTATTTCTGGAATTTCTAACTGCTTTGTTGTAAGATTTTAATAATTCAGGGTATGTTTGTTTATTAATTGTGTTCTTATATTTCCTCCATTTTCTCTCCGCCGCCCTGCAAGATCCATACATACATACATTCATCCATACATGCATCCGTACATCCATCCATCCATGCATGCATTCATCCATGCATTCATCCATCCTTCTATCCATCCTTCTCTCCATCCATCCATCCATCCATCCATCCATCCATTTTCTTCCCATTGGTAATCCAACTCAACAGCTATTTTTACCCGGGTTTCGACCATAAAAGCAGGCAGGTAAAACATGTTTACAGTAGCAAATATAGAACATCACACAATGTGGTTTGCATTTTATGTGTATTGCAGTAATAAAAGTAGTAGTACATTTAAGTGTTTAGAACCTAATGGCACTACTGAATATTAAACAAAGTAGTTTATGAAGTGCTCTGAGGGAATGTCACATTGCAAATACTGAGCTTAACAGGACATTATGAATAAATTTTCCAAAGTGAGAGCAATTAGTCAAAGTGTTATAACTGTAGCTGGAGTGTAGTTGACTCATGAATGCTTTATATGCATTTTGTAGTTTTTCTAATCATTTTGTTCTGGACAGCATCTCCAGCTTTTGCCATTTATCATCTCAACTCCTTGTGAGTCTCATTCCTACACAGTTTAGCAGCATCTGGTGTTGCAGTCATTAAATAAACACACCTTTACTGAGAAAACATTAGCATTAGCTCAATGTGAGACATTCAACGACCGTTATTAAAAAACACCAAAATGACTGGAGTTTTATTTCTATTGTTGCCTCAGTGTGTCCTGTCATGCCTTTGTTTTGCTTTAAGCTAGACATGGCTGGAAACAGTTCAAAACAGCTATATTTAAAGAAAGATGAGCAATGCTCCTCTAGTAAAAGATCCATTATAGTTGATTATAGTTAAAAGAAAATGTACAAACAGCTGGCATTCTCTTTTTTCAACAGCAAAGCTGTTTCAACAAAACTCTAGAAAATGTTAACATTTTAAGCTATTGCTTTCGAACTGGTTTAAATGATTATTGAACCAGAAAGTCAAGCAGCCTCACACGGGACAGCCCTCTGCTGACCAGAAACTGCAATAAGCAATGTGATAGTTGGGGGTGGGAACAAGTGAGAGGTGCAGCAATAGTCAGGGTGGAGTTTTCTGTGCTAGTAGCTTATAGCAGTAAGCCATTTCAGTTTGCAGATTGTTAATAAAAAGAGCAAAAATGAATAAGAAGTTTGCTTTTTGTTGACCTCATGGCAGATCACGCAAGTAAAAGGAAAAGAGTAATGAATCTGAGGACAAGCAAAGAAAGAACGAATATCGGCACAGCCTAACGTTGTAGGCTACAGCAGCGTTGTTTACAACTGTTGTGATTTTGCTATCAACCAGTAGGGGGAGAAGAAAGCAATGTGTTAAGTGTTACTTGAAGGAACAATCCTACCATGCATGTGTCAACCAGAAGAAAACTCACAAGTTCAAAGTTCATTTAGAGGTGTGTCCAGAACGGAGGAATAATTTTTAATCTTAGCATTCCTTCTCAGTTTTATGTTCTTCTTCAATCTGTTCTCAAATTGTAGTTGTCAGGAAAATGAATCAAGTCATCAAAGAAACGCAGCGGTTTCTATTTGTTTTAACAGAAAAGAGAATATGTCAAATCGCAGTCTTCCTATGAAGAAAAAGCCCCTTTGGCTCTTTTAAATCCAGATAAAGGCTTTGAAGGGCTTCTGCATGTTTACGGCTCACAGCTGTACACACTTGCACCATATTTGCAAGTATAAACAACCCGAGGAGGAACCGAACCACCAAAAATTTCAGATACTAATGCAAAAAGACCAAAACACCAGAAGTAAACTCAAGATATCTTCAAAGGCAGCTGTGGTTTGAAAACACCTTCATGAAATACATTAAAATAGAAATGCAAATATGTGGTACTTTTCTAGTTATCTTGTGTGCATGCATGCAAGGAGCGTTTTATTTGTGTTTCCTATTTAGGCCACTGGTAAACTGACCAGCGGCTTGCAGCAGTAGTGTTTGGTGGAGCTGCGCTTTGCACTCCATATCCTTCACTGTTTCCAGTGTCTCATTTAAAGACATTTAGGCCCTGTCCACACGTAGCCGGGGATCTGCCAAAACGTAGATATTTTTCTACGTTTTGGCCTGTCATCCACACGAAAACGGAGTTTTTTCACACGAAAACGGATCTTTTTAAAAACTCCGGCCAAAGTGAAGATCTGCGTTTTCTCCGTTTTGGGTGTCTGCGTGTGGACAGACAAAACCGGAGTTTTAAGGTCCGCAACGTCACTTTCCGCGACAAAAAATGCTGACATCACGTGTGCGACCTGTGTTTACACTAGCCGACAGCATGGATGCCCTCAGAGCTGCGCTCGCTTTATCAATTGTCCAAGCGCTTTTTGCTTGTTTGTTTTTGCAAGCGGAATTACTGCTCCTTGCGGAAGACCACAGACGAAGGACGAGGTTAAGAACGGGGGAAGTACTGCCGCCTACAGGTCTGGCATGTCCTTAACAACGTATTTATCCGGGTACGTGTGGACAGAGTTTTTTTTGAAACGAGGTGGTGTGGATGCAAGTTTTTGGAGGGGCGGATATTCGATTAAAAAATAAACGGCTACGTGTGGACTAGGCCTTAAACTGCAGCAAATGTAAAGTATGACTAGGGTTGTCACGGTATGAAAATTTAACCTCACGGTTATTGTGACCAAAATTATCACGGTTTTCGGTATTATCGCGGTATTTTTTAAACGGTGTTGCATATGTTCAGAAAGCATTGATAGTCCTGTTCTACACAAACTGAAATAGTTTTGAAAAGGTTCAACAGTGTTTATTAAACCTAAAATAACACAAGCCTTAGCAAAAGTGCAACTTTTCACAAGTAAAGGAACAAATAGCTTCTTTTTCTGGAATGTGTTACAGTAGTCAGTGCAGGTTTCAATTATACAAATCCAAACATTCAAAACATAAACAATATGTAAACAAATCAAAGAAACACCACTTGTTTTCTCATATACTTGTTTTCTTCATTATCAAAATGACAATCTAAAACTCCAGTCCACACTTGACTTGAGCACTGTACAAGTCAACCTTAAAAAATATGTATTTAAAATAAATAGCCACTTTAAACAAATGACTAAAATAACTACTACACTATGTAATCAAATCCAAATGTTCAAGTATAAATGGCATTGAATAAGTAAACAAATCAATGACAAGGAACTAATTGTATATTTCTCTTCATCATCAACAAATCAGATGCTTCATCCAGCAACAGGGTGTCCGTGACACGGTTTAAATGCTGGCAGAGGACGCTGCGGCTGCAGTAAATAGTGACTCATTGCATTCTCCGTCAACCAAAAGTCCTCGCGTCATGCATTTAAGCTAAAATGCTAATGTTAACTTACCTTGCACTGGCTGTAGAGACGTGGGTGATGGTCACGCAGATGTGCCATGAGATTCGAAGTGTTGCTGCCTTCTGCAGACACTTGTTTCCTGCACGTTCTGCAAACGGGATAGCAGTCTTCTATTAACTGTCCCTCAGCATTTTTCAGAAATCCAAAATATGCCCATACTTCCGAGTTAGTCTTCTTTGAGGGCTGATGGATGTCCTGGGCGCAGCCGTCTCCTCCTTCGGCCATTATTTCAGCTTCAAAGTTTTGGTGCCGTTGCAAACTAAAAAGTGCGTGTGCGCGCCGCGGGAACTTCAGCTGAAGTGACGGTGGCTGGTAAGGGTCACCGCGCTGAAACCGCGGCCACGGTAAACCCACCGAGATAATTTAGTTTTTTAAAAACTGGACGGTTATTTTTATTGTCAACTTTTTTACTGGGGTTTACCGCTATACCGGTTACCGTGACAACCCTAAGTATGACACAAATAAATGTTGTGGTTTTGCCACCATGACCACCATGCTATAACCTTGAACCAGCCTGTCTGATCCTGACATCTATTCTTGTTTAAAAGTAATTTCCTGTAATGTGGTGGCCTAGAAATCTAGAAAAACTGTAGCAGTTTGTTGCTCTGATGGGGCTGAGGACTGTCTGAGCTCTTTCTATGGGTCGTGGTCACAATAGATTTTTACATATACAGTATTCTTTGCATGTCCATCTCTTCTTTCTGCTAGGATCACCACCCTTGACCCATCTGATGTGGCTTCAGCCATGGCACAAGAAAAGAAGCAGCAGGAAGATGATCATGCAATATCCTTGTCCAAACTTTCGCCCAGCTTCACGGATGAACTGGCCACTACTGGACCAGGCCCAAACTTCTCACAAGACCTAAGGACGCCTGTATAAGAGAAGCTTGGGATTCCACCTGTAATAACTCTCACGTTTATATTCCTGTAGATAATTTTGTTGATGTGTGCATGTAACACAAAATGTTAGTTCCTGTAACACTTTAGCAGGTATGAATGTGTGTGGGTGAAAAATTAAAGCATGCATATTTTATAATATAAGTGTATGTGTGAAAAGACTTTTACCAAAAGTGAAATAAATGTATCTGGTTTGATGTTTACAGTCTTACATTGACGTCTTTACAGAACTAAAGGGTTTTAATGACCCCAACTTGCTGAAAAAAAAATATTTTTTTTCAAATACATAAAGGAAGCCTCGTTAAAAACCAACAAATGTGTCTGAAAAGAAATAAAATATTGATTCCCTTCTGCTGGGATGTTGTTTAAAACTTGCATCGACTGATATTCTATAAAATTCTTGCTTTTTGTGTCGTCACTGGAGATTTTAGCAACTTCAAATTAAAAGAATGAACTTCTTTCTTCATGCCTTTTTGTATAGATTTATCTACAGCGGGCACACACGTGATCAGGAATTTATACCAAGTTACTTCTCTGGCTCCACTAAAAACAAAAAAATGATTGTGTCACGGCTGGGAAACAAAAAAAAATCTCCAGCAGAGCTTCATCATCAGTGCTTTCTCCTAGTTCTGTTCTGCAAGTGATCACACACGTTGGCGTCATCCGAGTGATGATCACAAGGCATGTGAATGAATGTTTTTAAGCACCCTTAAGTGTTGTGCAGTCTGCTGCATGTGTGTGTGTGTGTGTGTGTGTGTGTGTGTGTGTGTGTGTGTGTGTGTGTGTGTGTGTGTGTGTGTGTGTGTGTGTGTGTGTGTGTGTGTGTGTGTGTCGGCTCCACAAAGGTCCGGTCATGTGTTTGATCACTATGCTGTCCAGCAGACAGGGTAAAGCGCTGACTCTTTGGGGGGAGGGACATTGTTTTTGCAAACAGAGGAGCAGCATGCACAGTCAGAGGTAGGGACACCTCATTACTCTGTATTACATTAATATTAGTGAGAGTTTATTTCATATAATTTGAAACACCTTCACAAACTGTACATTCATGCGAGATGCTGCACTTGTGCCAAGGCATAAATAAGTAAAATATTTTCACTAGGTTGATAATGTCGTTTTATCGCTAAACAGTTGCTGCTGCCGATGCATCAGTCACATCAACCATTACTGATTTACAAGCTTGAAAAGCTGATCAAATTCACTTAGAAAAAAAATGAAATCTCAGAATCTACTATTGGAAGTGTTTCTGAAAGTTGAGAGCTGATGGTTTTGTGAATCATGAATAATTACTCCCACCGCCTGCCGGGGGCTTCTAAGGAGCTGAAGTTTCAGTTCAGTGATACAGCAACTGGATTGAATGAAACAAAAAATAAAATAAAATAAACCCACTGAGTTGAAAGTACCAGAAGTACATTTTGATTTTTCACTCAATTATTTTACTTCATCAAACAAAAGATGTTCTGAGGAGACAGATTAAAATAGTTGTTTTTGAGGAGTTTGTTTTCATTAATTGGTAAAATAAAATAAGAACTCCCAATAGTTCATTTAGGGCAGGGGTAGGCAACCCTGCATGTTTTCCAGCCATGCATTAATTTGCAGCTTCCAATTGGCTAAACACACCTGATCCATGTAATCAACAGCAGGAACAACAAAGATAGTTGGAAAATAAGCAGAACTGCAGATCTCTAGGAACAGGGTTCCCTACCCCTGTATTAAGGGTACAAGGGCTTTTGCACCTGTACCCCCAACAATGGGTTGTAGTGGTATCTCAGTTTGATCCTTTTAGAAATCAAACTTTACTTTGATTGATCTAACCTGATGTACATCAAAGAAAGATGCATTATTGGAAAATGTATAAAACACGGTTATCTGTGTTTGGAAATTAAGTCTTAATACATATTATTCACTGATTGCTTTTGTCACCTGTCTCTAAGCAGAAAGTTCTGGTTCCCCAGTATCAGACGTGTTAATCAGAACGGCACCTGAGCCAGCCAATCATCCTTTACGTTTATATTATGTTTTCATTCATTAAGCACTGACGTCAACACGGCAGAAATTTCATCTGCTAACCTTTAAATCCAAAGCCACATGCAGTACCATTGAGCTATCTATCTAAGGGTACGAAAGTATGCAAATTTTGGCAAAAGAAGTAATCAGTACTTATTAGGTCTGATATTTCAGGTCTGATAGTCAGAGTAACAGTTTGTGGAATTGAATAATATAAAATCTTCTATATATAATATTAGTTGTGGAGTACCACAAGGATCGGTCCTTGGACCACTACTTTTTCTTTTGTACGTTAACGATATTGCTATGGTTTCTAAATTATTCAAGTGTATACTATTTGCAGATGACACTACCTTATTTTATTCAGGAGAAAATATAAACGATGTGTTAGATGTAATTAAAAATGATTTTATAAAAATCTAACAATGGTTTAATATAATTAGGCTTTCTGTAAACACCGATAAACTAAGTTTATAGTTTTTTGTAGAAGTAATAAAAGTGCTGATGCATCCTTACATGTGGAAGGAATTGAGATAGAAAGACTAAAAGAAGTTAAGTTTTTAGGAGCTGTGATTGATGAAAATTTATTGTGGAAGTCTCACATAAATGCTATTAAGATTAAAATATCTCAAATTATTGCTTTACTAAATATGACAAAGGAATTGTTGAACAAGAACGATTTGTAGATTCTGTATAACTCGTTAATTCTTTCAAATTTGACATATTGTATCAAAGTATGTGGAAGTACCTGCAAAACATATACACATTACATTTTTCTTTTACAGAAAAGAGCAGTGAGAGTTAGTGGAAGTGGATATAGAGTTCATACGGATTTGACCTAATAAAATTTGACAAATTTGTACAATATCATTTATTAAAACTTATGTGCAAAGCGCATGAAGGAGTTCTACCAATAGATATTCAAAAGAGATTTGTAAAAAAGAGAAAGTAATTATAAATTTAAAAGAATTGATCTTTTTTTTTTTTTTTTAAAAACAAGATTTTGAACAGTGAAAATGGAAAGATGGAAGAATTTCAGCATTTTTGTATTTGGTTCTTTCTGCTCCTTTCCAGTGTATGTTGCTAATTTGAAATAATAGGAATCAAGATTTTTTAGGCTGAACTCGTTTGACTCCCTTTTCTGTCTAATCTCTTTCTGGGTTGGGTAAGCATGTGGAGAGTTGGTCTACTGGTGGTGACCTGTTACATCGGCCTTACTTTGGCCCAATTCCCCCGGGAGTGTGTCACACCTGATGGTCTGAGGAGCGGTCAGTGCTGCCCATCCCCAACGGGGGTGGCAGGGGATGCGTGTGGCTCCATCTCGGGAAGAGGCCAGTGTGTGTCGATTGCAGCAGACAGTCGCCGCCATGGACCACAGTATCCGTATGTGGGACGTGATGACAGAGAAAGGTGGCCTTTGAGATTTTTCAACCGTACCTGCCAGTGTAACGGCAATTTCAGTGGCTTCAACTGTGGACGATGCAAGCACGGGCTGACCGGACCAAACTGTGATCAGAGAATCTCTGTTGGTAAGAACTGAGAACTTGTTTAAAATGTAAGACGATCTAAATCGCCTCTATCCTGCAGTGCCCTTCAAGATTTCACTCCTCTACATCAGCCAGAAGGATTAAGGCTGCACTTTTTTTTCTTTCACTAGAGAAAAGAAAATGCACGATACATTTTAAACACATTGTCTTTTCCTCAAAACCCACTTCTTCTCTCTTTGTGCTCTGCCGCGTTTTGACCTGAATCTAGTGAGGAGGAATATCATGCAGATGAGCACAGCTGAGAAGCAGGCTTTTGTGAAGGCTCTGGACCAAGCTAAGAGGACTGTCCATCCCAACCTGGTCATCTGCACAAGAAGGTACACACACGTTTGAAAACTCCAAGAGTTAGATTCATTTAAAAAGGTTCAAGAAACACCTTATATCAAAGGAAGATTGATGGCCGCTCCTGCTTTAGCACAGTGGAGCAGACAAGACCATTAATCAAACATCTCCTCCATCTGTTACCCGAAACTGAATGCATGACTTCCCATTTATGGGTTTTGCTATCTTTGCTTCAGAGTAGCCCACTGCCTACTCTCCCAAATACCATCATGGTGTTTTCCAGCATCACATGTACAGTATAGTTACAAAAAGTGTTTATGAACAAATGATGAATAAATCAACACATTAAAATGATCAGAGGTGCATTTTTTACTTTTTTTTGTAAATAAAATGTTCCATTTGTTTATGAGGAGGAGGGGCTTACGGGTTTTACTGGAACCCGCCACTAGGGGCAATCTCCCCGTTCTGGTTTCTCTTTCTGGGTTACATACAGATGTCCAGCTTCTTATTACGAACTAATGTTTCTGTCTGAAAATAAAGAAGTTCAGTTGTTTTATATTTTTTAATTCATAAGTTTTTTGTCTGTGCACAAAAAAGATTCTTATGAGCAGGAGGAAGGTTGGTACTTTAGTATGACGCGTCCCTTTTCTTTAGGTACCAAGAGGTGCTTGGGCCTGATGGCAACAGCCCACAGTTTGAGAATGTCACCATCTATAACTACTTTGTTTGGAGCCACTACTACTCCGTCAGTAAGACGTTCCTGGGGCCGGGGCAGGCCAGCTTTGGAGGTGTGGACTTCTCCCACGAGGGTCCAGGGTTTGTCACCTGGCATCGTTTTCATCTGCTGCAGCTAGAGAGAGACATGCAAGTGAGCAGAAGACAGTGACTTTGGCCTAGTCCACACATAGCCAGGTTTTTTTAAAACGAGTATCCGCCCCTCCAAAAACTTGCATCCACACCACCTTGTTTAAAAAATAAAAACTCTGTCCACACGTACCCGGATAAATATGTTGTTAAGGACATCATGCCAGACCTGTAGGCGGCAGTACTTCCCCCGTTCTTAACCTCGTCCTTCGTCTGTGGTCTTCCACAAGGAGCAGTAATTCCGCTTGCAAAAACAAACAAGCAAAAAGCGCTTGGACAATTGATAAAGCGAGTGCAGCTCCGAGGGCATCCATGCTGTCGGCTAGTGTAAACACAGGTCACACACGTGATGTCAGCATTTTTTTTTTTTGTCGCGGAAAGTGACGTTGCGGACCTTAAAACTCCGGTTTTGTCTGTCCACACGCAGACACCCAAAACGGAGAAAACACAGATCTTCACTTTGGCCGGAGTTTTTAAAAAGATCCGTTTTCGTGTGAAAAAACTCCGTTTTCGTGTGGATGACAGACCAAAACGTAGAAAAATATCTACGTTTTGGCAGATCCCCGGCTACGTGTGGACAGGGCCTTAGAAAGAGGAGGCGTTTCCTGTGGGTTTAATGAAAGAATAAACAGGAGGCTGATGAAGTAAAAAAATAAAAGTGGGATGTTGAATTTTATTTTATTTTTAAGATGGAGTGGGATGCTGTCCTGCAACGGAAATGTGGAGCAAGATAGGAGTAGATCAGACGTAGATAAATGTACTGGAGGAGGAAAGTGATGGAAGATGTTATCAAAAGTAGGAAAAGTGCTAAAGAAAGTAGTAGACTAAGTAATGGGTCTTTTTAGGTTCTAATGTAAAGATTCATTAATCTTCTTCGATGTGCCCCCCTGAACAGGACATGCTGGGTGACCCCACCTTTGCCCTCCCTTACTGGAACTTTGCCATCGGCGGCGACGAGTGTGACATCTGCACCGACGAGCTGCTGGGAGCGAGGAGCACGTTTGACCTGAACTCCATCAGCCCCAACTCCGTGTTTTCTCAGTGGCGGGTCATCTGTGAGAGTGTGGAGGACTATGACACCCTGGGCACCGTCTGCAACAGTAAAAAGACACAAGCAACACCCAGCCGTTAGGCCAGGCCGCGCCGCGCCGCTGATGTACAGCACCGTCTCAGCTGCATCAGAAAAGAGGGCAAAAAGCTCATAAAAGAGCGAGCATGTAGAACAAAAGCTGCTATAAATAATACCTCACAGCTGCTGTGCTAAATTCAATACAGCTCGCTATTAGAGCAGTTTGTTTGAAACTCCCCTCGTTGTCAGACTTCTTGGCTACTCAGACGCTCTGGATTTTGCAACAAATTATTTTATATTTCGCAATCTAAATTCTGCATTAAGAGCATCACATTATCCAATAAATCAAATCAAAGATACTTTATTTGTCCCAGAGGGAAATTAGAGTTTCACTACACACAATTCAGAGATCAGACATACATGGGCAAGACACATGACAAGAATTGGTGACTGTGGTCATTCGCAACCCTGAGTCGCGCTACCTTAATAGAGATAAGTGGTACATGAGGATAATGGGGGTAAGGCAAAAAAAAGGCATAGTAGAGTTAGACCCAGCGGGGAGTAACTCTATTATACAAAAAAACCTCCTCAAACATAGAAGCACGAACATCACAGATACAACATCAGAGTCCGATGGGGAGGCGGGGTTGGGCGGGAGCCGCCAGTACGGCGCTTCACCAGCTGCAGTCAACAGGTGGGAGGGAGAGATGAGGGCCAGAGAGCGCATTGAGTTCCTGCAGGTCGATGACCTCGAAGCCGAAGTCACAATCTCAAGGCAGGGGGGGGGGGGGGTCGGGCCACAGCATCGTCAGCATTCCTCCTTTCGTGGGGGTGAGTTGAATGCAGCCTTGGAGGCTGCTTGGCGTCAGATAAGGATAAGCAAGACTTTGTTAAGGGCAGACAGAGATAATTTTCCTCTCTGCCTTGGAGTCTATTAAGAGGTCATTCATGTCCACCAGTGAAGCCAATTTATGCGTTCTAAACATCCCCACACCGTCCGGTGACCCTCTCCGAGATGACATCCATCTTGCGAACTAACACAGGCAACACCACAAGGACATTGTCCAGCTTACAGTTATCTAATCATTTTTAATGTTTCATGTTGGGTCGCGAGATTCAGGACATAATTGATCTTAAATCGTATTGCGCCAGTCACGAATAAGCTAGCCAAGGTGATTCCGATTTGTAGGAATCCGCTCTCCTCCTGCGCCGGCAGCAGATTAGTTATTACCTTTGGTGTTTGAGTTCAAAAGACACAGAGACGGTGTATCCTTTTGCTTGGAAGTGTAAAATCATTAGGAATGCCAGTCATCTTTTTAAACTGCAGTTCTTTGCCCAAAACAAAGAAAAGCTACAGAAGTAGGAGAAAATGCAAGTGGTCCACGTTCGAGTGATCTGTCTCATTCTGTTCCTTGGAGAGTCATGATAGGTCTGGTGTTTCCTGCACTAACAAGCAGCAACTCCTTAAATGGGTTAGAGGGGCGCATGGGGGGGGGGGGGGGGCGCTCATTTGTGCATCTGCTTGTTGAAGACAGGAGCGTAGCAGTCGACTGCCTTTGATCTAAGAGGATAATCTTCAAACACATAGACAACTGAGTTGTGTAGACCCTCGTGTGTAGGAGACAAAGCACCAATAGAGACGTAGATCAAGCACGTAATGACGATAATAAAAATAATAAAGTTCAGTCACAAAACTCCCACTCACTGCTGTTGAGTCCTTTTAAAAATGTAACAATGTATCTGCCGTCCTGTCATGTTTGAGACCAGTCAAACTCATCTGGTCTCCCACACGGACGTGGAACGACATTTATGATAATTATTCAGTTTCTTCAGGGACCACAAAACAAACAATAGGAACAGCTACACTCGTCATTTCTTAAGCTGGGTTTCTTTTTCTGTTGTGTTGAATATTCCACCAGAGTTGTGCTGACCTTTTGTCTTCATCACCGAGGTACGGAGAGTAGTCCAATCAGGAGGAACCCAGCGGGGAATGTCGCGAGGCCCATGGTGCAGAGGCTGCCGGAGCCCAGGGACGTGTTGGACTGTCTGGAGCTGAACACCTTTGACACTCCGCCTTATTACTCTACCTCCTCCGAGAGCTTCAGGAACAGCATTGAAGGTGTCGAGCTACAAACTAAAGTTTAGAGCCAGAGAGCCAGTGAAAGGAGAACAGTGCAGCTCAGTTTCTCGGTAAAATAAAGCTGCTGAAGTTCTGTGTGAAAGTAAAACTCCAAACCCAAGCCAGAAACTCGCTCTCTCAATCCTCCACCCACATGCACATATGGTTAGCTCCAAGACAGCATTTGCTGTTCCTAATTTTGGAAATTCTAAGCTTTCATTGCTTTTGTGTGTGTGTGTGTGTGTGTTTTCATTGTTTGCTAGGCTACAGCGCCCCCCAAGGGCCGTACGACCCCGTCATCCGCAGCCTCCACAATCTCGCACACCTCTTTCTGAATGGGACAGGTGGACAGACTCACCTGTCACCTAATGATCCCATCTTTGTCTTGTTGCACACCTTCACCGACGCCGTCTTTGATGAGTGGCTGCGACGGCACCAACCAGGTGCGTATGAGCTGACACACAAATACGTCCAGGCAGGATGGATAGTTTGGGTAGTACCATGTCTTCTTCTGCATGCAGGTGAAATAAGTTACCCGGAGGAAAACGCCCCTATCGGACACAACGGCAGGTTCAACATGGTTCCTTTTTGGCCTCCAGTCACCAATGCTGAGATGTTTGTCTCAGCCTCGGAAAACCTGGGATACTCATATGATGTCCAGTGGCCAGGTGAGCAGTACACACTCTCTCCCTCTCTCTTACACACACACACACACATGCATGTACACAAGCACACACACACACACACACACCTACAGACATGCGCGATTCATGATGTTGATGAAAAAGGTAACCTCTCCTCTACTCCATCCATCTTACAGCTGGTGCCTTCACCCTCTCCGAGATCATCACCATGGCCATCGTAGCAGCCGTGGTGGTTGTGGTACTGGTGGGGGGGGCCATCGCCTGCGCCGCGCGAGCTCGCTCCCACCGCTCGGCCGAGGCCTTGGAGCCTCTGCTGAGCGAAACATTCCGACGTTACTCAGAAGACGACAGGAGGTCGGACAAATCCCAGTCTGTCGTCTGATCCCTCTCCTCTCTGCCGAGGCTTTGACGTGTTCGTGGAGTTGTTTTTCCTTTTTTGCATTCATCAATTTCCTCTAATAAAGCAGAAGTGGTTTTTAAAAGTCCAGAAATTGTTGTCCTACCTTGTATTTTCTTTTACCTGTACCTTGATTTAGTTAGCCCTTTAACTAAACCATGCAGCTTAAGCGATGAAACTGTAGCCACATGGTCACACTTACCGAAGCAGGTAAGGAAAAGACACAAGGCTTCTGGTAAGAACTAGTGTTGTCAAAAAAATCGATACCTAGATATAAATCGATACTAAAAGTGGTATCTAAATTAGATATTCCATCCCTGTGGTATTGATATTATGGACTATTATACACAGCCTTCTTCAAGTACACCGACACGCACGACGGCCAGATGCCGTAAAGCAGCCTCCGCCTCCCAGACAAACAGAAGAAGACGCTGCATGGCTACATTACAATTTCCCACGCGAGTTGTCTCCGATCCAAGTTTTGTCTGCCAAATAAATAAACAAAAACATAAACAGCGAATTTGGGAGGCGCTTCACAGCCCAACTTAATTAGCATACCAAGTCCGACACGTAGTTGTATATTCACGCTTACGTGCTTAAAGGAAAACTCCCGTTTATTGCAACCCGGACTTAATTTCTAGCATGCAGTACGTTTGTTTACTCACGCTGCCAACTTTGGTGCTACTTGGATTCCCCGGGGTATTTAGATCCATCGGCGAATCGCCATCAGTGTATATCCATATAACGGGTGCGGACGGGCACCCATGGTGCAGCCTCGAAATAAGACATTATCTGCACCAAAACATCTCAATGTCGAAAAGTTTTGTTAGGAATCATTAACGTGATTCCCCTGTTCGTTTGGAGCGGATCTGGGATTTTTAGGCGTGAACAGACTAGCTGCGGCTAATCTAACCGGCGCTTTTAATGACGTCACTGCCGTGCGCCAATCTGTTTTTATTAAGATTACCGGTAGATGTACCTTTGTCCTACTGTGGAGAAATTCGTTTTCTCCCTTTATTGACCAACAGAGTTGTTCAAAAGTACAGAACAAAACATATGGCATTACAGCTTATGAAAAAAATGCACCTTAAACAGAGTTTAAGCAGCAAAACATCACTCTGCAAATAGTGTATATATAGTGAGACAATTCATGATTTAAAGTGTTAACTTTCACCAGTTTTTGTATGCACGTTTAAAAAATGTTGATACTTGAAAGGTTTAAGCACTTTACACACTTAATTCTTGACATTTAATTTTTGCAATATAAATTGAGGAATGTTATTTTTTGAATAAACTTGTTCAATAAATTGGTGTTTTGAAATAGTATCGAAATCGAGTATCGAGTTTTTTTCCCCAGTATCGAATCGAGTTTGAAATTTTAGTATCGTGACAACCCTAGTAAGAACTACTGCAGCACAACTTCCTGTTGCATTTCTGTGCTACTGGAGATTTATGGGCTAAATCTAAAATAAATGAACAGCCACATTTTTACTTACAATTGACCTTGCCTTTATCTGGAAGGTAAATTTATAGCTGAGTACCTAATTGATCTTATTCTGTTAACAGAGATTGTCATTAAATAAACAAGAGTCAGGCCTGCATGAGCAGACTTAACACAGGCCTTTTGCTCCTGGTGCAAATGCATTTGTCTGCAGCCTGAGGCCATCTGGCAAATCGCACCACTTAATGTTAATCTTCCATTCAATGAGCCTGATTTATTCAGTGCATATTACCGTGCCTTGATAACAGCACACACGTCGCCCCCATGTGGATGAAATGCATCGCTGCAAATGGTGACAGAAAAATCACATCTTCACTCACTCAGTTATGAAATCTTCAAAATGAGACTAAAAGGCTTGTATAGAAAAGCCGATCCTTAATGAATCTTTTGTTTCAGAATCTCTGAACGGTGTTAAACGGAGGAATATCCCACTAAATACAGTGTATGGACATTTTCTTTAACCTAAGAGGACCGTTTCATATGTTTAACCCATCAACGCATCCTCAAAACCCAAATAACTATTAAAAACAGGCGGTGACACTGCCACAAACTGCACATTTTACCAGAATCTACAATACTGAGTTTCAAAAAATGGTAAAATCTGAAATCCTCACCCGTTTAGTCCAACATTAAGCTTTTATTCATTGTGATGTCAATTGTAACTGAACGATATGACGTAGTGCACTAGTAGGAAGGAACAGCTACAAAAGACAAACACTTCTGTCCTGCTGTGACCTTTCTTTTGCTAGATAAAGCCAAGCATTACGTCACATGCAGCAGGACCACCTGGCCCTGAGTAGCTCCACACAAGCAGCACGCTCCCTTTATGAGCCAGTGTGGCTTCAAAAGCCAAAAGGTTTTCTGGGGATTTGGACGATGCTCTCTTTTCCATAATTAAGTGGTACACATGACTTTTAATGAAATGAGATTTTCTTTTCAGGGGATTTTGCTGCCATTTTGAAGTTCGTAAAGATGATGGATAGATCGTTTCCAGAACGCCAAACTGGAAAAATAGAGTGTATGTAAAATCTAGCTGACCCATACAAGGCTCATTTAAAAAACAAATAAATTGCTGAATAAGAATTCAAACGGATAAGTCCTTTTATTTATTTATTTTTAAACATTTCCAAAAATATTTCTTCGTTTTCTTCATGTAATAAAGGTTGGGGAAAAAATGGTTATTTTGATCAAATATGGCCATTTTTGTTTTTGCTAAATAATTCCTGCTGTTTCAAAATGTAGCTGTACAAGTCTGTGAGGACCTGAAGCACAATAAGACAAATGAACGTCTTAAGGAAGCAAAAACCGACGTTTTACGTCCAAATGCATAAAAGAAATAAAGCAGCGTTTCCGGCTCCTACCCTCCTGGATGTGCAGTGTTCAGTAACTATGACTGAGTGTAATTATTTTCTGCTTCAGGCTATAACGCAGAGAGAAAATGATTGACATGAGCATGAGTGGCTCTGCTTACCAAGTTTCCAATGAGTCCATCTCATTTGCCTGTGATAACCCAGCTTCGGTGCTGGAGAACCACATGAAGACAGTGGCAACTAAACTTCTAGCTGCAATTAACAGTAAGCCTATGTACCGCAGTCACGGGGATTCTTCCTGTTGGGGTATTTTTATCTCTCTTTAAGGGTTGCAGGATTTTCAGAGTCAGCAAAGGACTAAATGAGTTTGGACTGGCATTTTTGCACCGCAGGATGGCATCCCGAAAAAGAACCTCAACAGAATGAAGGAAAGAAAGGACAAGGACGCTTTTTTGGGGGGGGGGGGGGGGGGGGTCCATCGCCAGTTGGCTGACAGCAAAAAGACACAGTCCTGTGGATGCACAAGTATGAGTAGATGTGACAGAACAATCACTTGGCCACTGTTACCCTCCTGAGAGAGAGGATCATTAGTGCCTTTTGAGGCTACTCTCAGGAGAGTTATTTTAGGCAGCAGCACACTTCACAGATGGAGTTCAGAGCTAAAACAATATTCCGTTATCTGCTGAATGTTTCAAACATGGTGGAAAAAGTGAGCAAGAGGGTCCCATTTGGTTAAAAAGCCCACCTCCCGTGTGTTGTCATCAGGCTGGAGTTTGTCGTGTTGAACTGAAGACAGACTACTGGCTGACTGCAACTACTGATAAATAAAAAGTGAGCTGCTGTAGATCTTCAGACTTCCTGTCATTTCAAACACCGGAACGCCATCACTCACTGCAGGATTTTTTGTCTTTAAGGCGAGCCATGAATCTTGCTGTTCTTACTTGCTAACCAAAACAAAACTTGAAAGGCCAAAGTTCACTTTGATGTGTTTGAATTTGAAAACATTTTCGTGATCCTCCCTACCTTTCATGTACATAATTGGGAAGAGGACTGAAATTTAACACAGACGGTAAAAACCGTTTGTTCAAATTTCTTGTTTTTCCTGAAAGAATAAACTAAAAGTGTCTCTAACGCGTTGGTTTCCCACCTGTAATGAGAATGATGTCATTAACATTTTTAGAGCTCTCATTTATTTATTCCATGAAAACATTATTATTGGTCTCTGTTATGGGTGAATGCCTTTGATCTCTTTGGGGAAAAACATTCTGGTGCTCCTGTTTTACAAAGCAGATGTTAACTGGAGGGAAGAAGATGCAGGATTCAGTCAGCACAATGCAACTCTGCCACAGGGGCACCCCCAGAAGATGATAATGGTGGCCAGACAGGACCAAAGAACAATTTGGGGTGAAACACCAAATTGGTCCTTGTGGACAGTTTTGCATGTGGCAATTTCTCCTTTATTCTTTTTTTTATTCAATATTATTAAAACAATATGGATCCAAAACATTTAACTCAAATTTAAGAAACACAATTTCCTACCACCCCTAGCCACCCCTTGGGGACACCACTGCTCTACCATTGCCTCATTTGACCCGCAACATTGATGTTTTATCTCCACAAATAACTCAAGCCTGAAAGAGTTCTGCCATGTGTATTTGCTAATGCTAATGGTAATCTTCTACTAGCTGAGACGTGCTCTGCTCTCTCCTGGTTGCTAAACCAACAACAGCCTTCCCCGTCATGAGCCAAGATGGGTGAGTCCATGAATGCTAACTTATGGGCTCGACACACGGGAGGCGACAAATGACCGCGATCAGCAAAATTTGTCGCTGTCGCTTTTATTACCTGACACACGGGAGGCGATCCGCGGCAGCGGCCAGCGGCAAAGCCATCTATGCGTTCTGTTCCATGGCGAAATTGAAACTTCCGTTGTTTTGTTCGGCTGTGTCAGGTTGGAGGGAATTAAGGTTATTTAAGCGGTTCAGAGTTAATAAAGCGGTAGATATGATGTTTCACAAGGTGCTGCTAGAGTTATGTGAAATTTTACTTTTGATTTTACTATAAATCATAATAATAATCAACTTCTCCTCCATGTTTGCTCGGAGATGTACGGAACATCCTGTCCGCTCATTGGTCAGTGAATGAAACCTCCGTTGATTGGTCCTCGTCCGAGCGACAGCGATGAAAAGTTGAAAATGTTTCAACTTTCTGGGATCGTGTCACTGGGTCGCCTGTGCACGACACGTGCACGAGCACAAAATTTCACACGCACGTTTTTCGCGTTTCGCTTAGTAAGAGAGAGACCCGCGATTATCGCTTAGTCACGCATGTCTCATTGAAAACAAATGGAGAGGCGATGTCGCCTCCCGTGTGTCGAGCCCATTACAGTGTGACGTAGTGTGAGCGTTTTCCCATCAGCAGCTAGTGCAGGAAGCTGATGTAGAGGGACATTTTCACATTTAGCCTGCATGTGAAACTCGGAGTGACCCATCACATTTATAAAAAAAAAAAAATCGAAACCCAGTTTCTTAGTGAACTTGCTCTTTAACAAGGAATTCACAAAATAATTCTGTTTTTTTGTGTAAGATTTAGGAACAACATGAAATGCCTTCTGCCTTCCTTTCATCTTAAACCCTCCTCATGCGAGCCGGAAAGCAATTGTTGATCTGGATCGGGATGAAGCAGACTGCGATGGCTGCTTTTCAATAAAGCTTGCAATGTGAACAGATGGCTCTGATTAATGTGAAGGATCCAGACAGGCACTGAGTAGTCTCCCGTTTCCTAAATGAGACATGTGTGTGAAAAATATTTTGTTTGAAAGTTTGTGGTGGCACAGGTGAGGAAAAAAAGAGTGACGCCATCTTCCTTATTCCAGTGATCTGAAAAGGCTGTTTTGAACATGTGAGGAAGCCGTTTCTTTCATTATGACATCACGGAACAAAGATCGTACAAATGAACATTTAATAGATGATACAGTATTATGTTGCGCTAAATAAAGCACACAAGTGTAAGAGCCGCAGCAGCTTAAATAAATCACAGCGAAGAAAACAGTGTGAGTGTAAATGCAATCATATAAAAACAGAATCAGGAAGGTTTCTGAACAAAAACCAGACATTACACTACAACAATACTTTCTTGTCATCCTAAGAAACAACTGTTCAGACTGAAGACTATAAATACACATGATTAACAATAACAGCTGCTTTCAGGAGCTGCGACACATGTCTTAGTCAGGTTTTGATTATTACTGCTAATAATCAGACCTTATGTAAGAAGTTTATGTTTTTGAGGAATCATGACACATTTTGGAATTAATGGAGTAAAAGAAAGTGAAGGGAAGTTAAACAGGCCTTCATAATAACTCTGGTGTTGCCATATAAAACGTTGGCAGAAGCACTTGGCATGTTGTGACTGAACAGAGGTCATTGGGCAGAGTAAATACTGAACATGTGATATTATTCTTGTTTTGTTTTTCACGTTAATAAGAATCAGTGATAATGAGGACACTACTGCACACAAATACAGCACAGCTGCTTTTGTTCTAAAGCCTGATCATAGTGTCATCCGTGTTATTATGTAATATGTGTTTTATAAACCAGATCTAATCAAAGTTCATGACTTTGGTCTGAAGTTTCATTTAAGCTGATGAATTATGTCTAAGCTGTGCTCGCAGTTAGAGCTTCCCAAAACTAGATCTATGTGTGCTTATACTTCCTTGCTTCCACGACCGTGACTGGCTCCTCGGCTTCGTGTGAAGCAGTTCCACCAGTGGCAGCTAAATCCAGACCGTCATTTCGATGAGATCAAGTCAAAACTGGTCAGAGAGATCCTTATCTCAGGAGAGCACGGTGAGGACTACAGTTCCTTTGGTCCTTTTCAGGATATCCACAGCTTCAGCGTGAGTCACTCCCTCCAGGCAGTGTTCGTTCACAGCAATGATCTGGTCGCTCCCTTTCAACCTGCCGTCCTCGATGGCTGCTCCCTGCAGAGAAAGCCAATCACCATTAGACCAGAAACTACTATTTCTACCTATGTTAAGTACACAGTAAATATTGAACAAATAAAGTCAGACACTTTCAAATCTACACATTTTACAAAAGTACACATAGAAACAATTAGCAACAGTTTCATTCTTAAAAAATAAGACACTTCTAATCAACTTTTGGCGTGGCAGATGTTTTCTCACCTTGCTGAAGATAGTTTTGACATAGATTGGCAGATCCCCATGAGGACTGCCAAACCCCCCTACGATGCTGAAGCCCAGGCCCGATGAGCCCCTCTCCAGAGTGATAGTCCTGTACACGCGTGGACTGTGGGGATCAGTATACACAACAATTGGTGTTCACTGAAAACCTTTTTTCTGCTCCTTATAGTGCAGCTCTGCTTCAGCTTTGATCCTTATTTAAAAAGTGAACAAACCAGGAGAAAAAGAAAGTAAAATCGGAAAGTAGAACGGCTCCTACCAGAAGTTGTTGTGAGAGCCGGTCGTGCTGCTGGTTAGGTCTGATGACCTGACATCCTCGCCGCTGGGATCCTGTGGGCTACATCCGTTAAAACCTGCTGCCAGCTAGCCACACACAAACACACAACGGACATGTTATGACACAATCCACAGTACAGCAAGACAATTCTGGGTAACACTGCATTCTCTTTGTTTTGGAAGGCACTCGATCGGTTCTTTTGCATGACTTCCTGTCAAGCCTTTAAATGCATACTTTCTAAAACAATGCACACATGACTCCAGGAGGACAGTGAAATTTCTCGTGTTAGCACAGTTTTCCAGATGCTAATGTGAGCTTCTGGTGGATTGCTTATTATTAGACCAGTTTCTATGCACAGTGGTGCCTTGGTGGTTTTTTTTATAAGTAAAAATAACCTGAAGTAAGCAGACTATGAGGCATCACTGTCCTTTCCTTGACAGCGCTGGGAAAAATCTTGCTGACGTTATCAGAGAATGAGATTCCGCCTGACGGTCATTACGCACTGACTGCTGAACGTCTCGCTGTGACACTACCTGCAGAGTGATGGATCCGGTGGCATTCTTCAGCAGGGCTTCAGCATGAGCATGAGTCATTCCCTCTGTGGACACATCATTGATGCAGAGGATCTGGTCTCCTGTCTGAACAACGCAAACCCACACCAACTTTTACTTGTGCTTATGAGCCAATTCCAAAGAGAAACACCCGAATCTAAAGCCTCCTTAGGATTGTCTCAAACTTTACTCATGGTATCTGCAGGTTTAAGGGAACCACATTTAAGGCTTTTTAAGACATTTTATAAGGCTACTTTGACCAAATTTAAGCTATTTTTAAAATTAAATTTAAGCTATAATTTCCAGCTATTGCCTGGAACCAGTGCTAACCACGTCGGAAACGTGGGATTATCCACCCAGTTACCATTAAACTTCCCCATGGCGCAAGCTCCCACTAGCTTAACCAGCTAATGTGCTCATCTAAAAATAGCCCCCTTTCACAACCAACGCCAACATCGTACACAAAAAATGCTTAAGACTAACTAGAAATTCTTGTTCATTGGGTCTTTGGTAATTTAAGACCTTTGGAAACTGTATTTAAGGATTATTTGTAATTTTTAAGGATTTTTAAGGCCTTATATTTAGAAAAGCAAATTTAAGACTTTTTAAGACTTTTTAAGGACCCGCGGATACCCTGTTTACTTCAACCCAGATTTGCTCAGAGGTTTAATTAACTATTTTATACTGTTGTGTTTGTATACTTATACTATTTTATACTAATGTAAGTTTTACAAATTCTCTTCTTTTAGAAAATTGACTATAATGCACTCATCTTGAACTTGACCAAAGGGGCATGCAGAGATCCCCAAACATCTGTCTTCAGTTCCAGGACAGCTGTGAGGTTATTTAATCTGGGCCCAACTTGGTGGCTCATCCAAACGACCTTCCTCAACACATCAATTCATAGTCTATCTATCCTAAGACTTGCCTTGTTGCTGTTGGTTGGTTTGTCCCAAAGACCCCATGAGCTTTGTTGCCAAAGTAGATCTAGCCCTCTCAGAATGTTCCAAGACACATTGACATTTCTGTAAGTAAGACCTAGAATACCTCATCTTGCTAGAAATTGGGTCTAGTTCTGATGACCTGCTACGTTGAGCTCTCACACTGGATTATCAAGTCAGCTCTCTTGTTCACTCTTCCCTCTTCCATCTTAGGAAAATTGCTAAACTGAGGCCTAGTCCACACGTAGCCGTTTTTTTTAAACGAATATCCTCCCCTCCAAAAACTTGCATCCACACCACCTCGTTTTAAAAAAAACTCTGTCCACACGTACCCGGATAAATACGTTGTTAAGGACATGCCAGACCTGTAGGCGGCAGTACTTCCCCCATTCTTAACCTCGTCCTTCGTCTGTGGTCTTCCGCAAGGAGCAGTAATTCCGCTTGCAAAAACAAACAAGCAAAAAGCGCTTGGACAATTGATAAAGCGAGCGCAGCTCTGAGGGCATCCATGCTGTCGGCTAGTGGAAACACAGGTCGCACACGTGATGTCAGCATTTTTTTGTCGCGGAAAGTGACGTTGCGGACCTTAAAACTCCGGTTTTGTCTGTCCACACGCAGACACCCAAAACGGAGAAAACGCAGATCTTCACTTTGGCCGGAGTTTTAAAAAAACTGTTTTCGTGTGAAAAAACTCCATTTTCGTGTGGATGACAGGCCAAAACGTAGAAAAATATCTACGTTTTGGCAGATCCCCGGCTACGTGTGGACAGGGCCTGAGTGCCACTCTGTTACGCTCTATAGGTTTGTACAGAATGCCTGCGCTCAGATTCAGACCAAATCGTGAAAGCACACCAGCATCACCCCGCATCTCTTACAGCTTCACTGGTTGCTGGTGAACTTCAGAGTTCATTTAAAGATCCTGGTTCTGGTCTTTAGGGCCAAGCACCATCTTACATTGGTGATCTTCTCAGTCCCTACACCCCCAGCAGGTCCCTGAGGTCCAGTGATCAAAGCCCAAGACCAAAGGTGACAGATAATTTGCTGCTGTGGCCCCCAGACTCTGAAACTCTCTCCCCCAGAACCTTAGATTAGTGGACTCAGTGGTCTCCTTTAAAAGGCAGCTGAGAACTCATCTGTTCAGGCTGGCTCTTCTGTGACCTTTTGTTGATCCTTCACTATCTTCTCTTCATGCTGCTGTTTTTACCAGTTCTTCCTTTTCCTGGACCCGTATTACCTTCTCTCATTTCATTTTCTTTCTTCCTTCTCATTTTTATTGCTATACATATATATATATATAGGGCAGCAGTAGCTCAGGTGGTAGAGCGGGTTGGGAGGGTCATGGGTTTGATTCCAGCTCCCGCCAGGGGTATCCTGCTGTTGTGTCCTTAGGCAAGACATTCACCCAACTTGCCTTTGTTAATGGTGGTCAGAGGGGCCGACGGCGCCAAAAGACAGCCTCGCCTCTGTCAGACCTCCCCAGGGCAGCTGTGGCTACAAGTAGCTTACCATCACTAGCAGTGTGTGAATGTGAGTGTGTGAAAGCGTCTTTGGGGGTCTTGAAAAGCGCTATATAAGTTAAATGCAATTATATATATATATATATATATATATATATATATATATATATATATATATATATATATATACACATATATATGGGAGTTTTCCTCTCCACTGTCGTTAAATGCTTGCTTAGTGAGAATTGCTGGGTTCCTTATATATGAAACTTTTTAATGATTGGCTTAATGAACTGACTCGTATTGGAATATTTACTTTGGGAAGTGCCTTGAGACGACTCTAGTCGAGACTTTCCACTTTATAAATAAACTTGAAAACTAGAATATAAATGAATGTATCTCAGAAACTAATTTATGGACGCACTTCAAGTAAGTTTGCTGTTGTTTGAAAGGAATGTGTGCAACTTTTTTTCCTAGACAATTTTGAGGGATAAAGGTCATCTCTGTATAATGGAAAATATGTGCTAAATACCAAAAAACGAGTTTCAATTCCTGTGTGGAAAATTGCTATGTTTTAGTGAATTATTTAGTTGCTATGCACATTTTACATTTATATTATTATAATTTAGAATGTTAGGGTTGTATTGATGTGTAGCAGGTTGAAATACTCCAAAAGATGGCACCACAGCATGTAAAAATGTAAGTTTAAGTTCTGGCAAACTTGTTCTATGGCAGGTCTTAAAGGGTTAAATGACTCCTAAGGCATCGATTTACACTACAAATGTATTGAATAAATGAGTAAGCCACACCTTTAAACCACCCGGTGGAGCGCTGTGAGAACAACTAAAATGCCAACCGCTAGCAAAATTATTTTACAGCAAGCCGAGAGGGACGTGTTTGCTTTAATCTGCAGAAAGAGTAAATCTGTATTATTGTGCAATTCACATGGGGGAGGCGGGGTTTGATTAAACCAAGCTTCTCATTTCCAGGTTGAATGAACAGTTCACAAAAATAACATCTCACTAGTGCCAAATGTGACATTTTAACATATATTGTTCTTAACGTTGCTCTGGAAGGTGGAAACTAGCATGATGCAGGCCCTTTAACATTTGTTGAGTAAGTTATTTTTGTTTGGTATCAAAAATACATTATTTTCAAGCCAAATGGCCCAAGTTATGTCAGGATATGCTGGTGAGTGGAGCGGAGGTGAGGATCCAAACACTGGGGAAGGATCAGGCAGGCAGGCAGACAAACCGGAAAAACTTAGAAGGTTTTTAATGATCACAGGACACAGGACATGGAAACAATGAGGCAACAAGAGACTAAAAACTGGAGGGGTTTAAATACAGGAGGGCTGGGTGCTTGGGTGATTGGGAAATGAGAGGCAGGTGGGAGCAATCAACAGAGACTCAGGCTGGCGAGAAGACAGGGTGTGACAAGTTACTGGAGTTAAAGTCAAAGTAGAGTTCAAGGTCTTCTTCAGAATTGTTGCTCAAGTCCACATTTTGCCTATTTCCTAAAAAATCTACATCACGATAAAGAAATCCTGAGATGATTTTCTTCAGATTAGATACAAACTACAAGTGTATGTATGGCATGAGTGACCAGAGGTCAACTGTTACCATGTGATGGCTGAAGCAAACCTACACAAGGTCATTAATCACCTGTATTTCCCGTGTTTTAGCGGCCAGTCCATTGGCATCCATGGTTGCAATAAAAGGAGGTATGTTGCCATGGGGACTGCCAAGTCCTCCAGCTAAACAAATGCCCAGGTTGTCACTTGAACCCTTTAATGATAGTAAACACACAGTAGTTATGTAACACCTGAGTAAATCTGTGGTTTGAAGGAATAAGCAGGTTATCTTTCCTTTGGCTTCCATCCTTTGAAGAACCAAATATTGAAATATTAACAGTTTTTTTCTTGCTAAAGTTGACACTCAGAATCTATTAATGACAAAAAAATTAATTACCTTTTGGATTTTTACTTTTCTGATGTCAGGGTCTTGAAGCACAAAATAAACAAAGAAACACTAAATTAAATTTGTGATCTAAAACGCTAAAGATTATGTGTGTAAAAATCCAAAAATATTTCACATTGACTAATCAAAAGAGTATACAGTTGCCTCCTGTTTTGTTGTCTGTCTCCCTCTGGTGCTTAACAGATGCATCACATCCACTCAGGGGAGTCGGAGTGGAGCTGTCGGAGTCTTCGCTCTGGATAAAACACAACTTAAAATATTCCTAAGTTCACAAAACAGTACTGTCAAAGTTTTGTAGAAGATGAATACACACGTAATATAAGTCAGGTCTATAACCAGTCTTTCTTTTTATTGCACCATCAAAATATGGTCAGTTGAACTTTTTACAACCCTAACAACTCTCTGATTAGCCATCGCCAAATTAAAGCAACAGTTTACCTGGCATCTGTGGGAGTACTGCACCCCTGCTTTAAAACGGGCCACTTCCAGGTGGACTGCTGCTGTACAGCTCTGAAAGTGAAGAAACTCAGGCTCAACAACAAAGGAAGTGAATGCATGAGTATGAATTAAAAGGAAAGTAAATTATGATTGTGTGTACAACTTTGTTAAAGTCTATGTGAGGATGAGACAGACCTGCAGCAGAAACTGCACGTGCTCCTGAGATGCTGCACGAACATCTTCCCTATTGATTGACAGAATCTGGTCGCCATGCATCAACCTGCCATCTGAATTTGCTGCTCCTCCTCTGATGATTTCTGACACAAATATGCCCGTGTCATTGCTGTTCAAAGAGAATGTGGGTCAAAAATCGCTGATCGGAGCTTTTTTTCTGTGACCTCTAAGACCTCCATGTAAAAATGTGTCAAATTTGATTGTGAAAAATTAAATCACACCTTGAATTTTGAAAAACATAAAAAGTAAAACGTGAAAAATAAAGATTTTAAGATTTGGTTTAAATTAGTGCCAAAACCTTTAGCTAAATTTCATTTTCAATATATTTTGGTTTCAATACATTTGTAAAAAGTGTTTTGCAGCCAGTTCCTTTTGCAGTAAAAGAAGTAATGTGACGCTCAGCTCAATGCTCTTGACCCTTTGTGGACAGGTACTCAGAATTGTTATTTATTTATTTTTGCTATTAAGCACAGCTGTTGAAGACTTTATTGCATGTGAGCCCCTCCATTTGGACTTCAGTAAGCCAACATATTTCATGCTCAGAATGCACGCTGTCCACTGAGGTGGACATGTAATAAATTATTTGTAAATTATAAAATATTTGTTGAAATTTGTTTCATTCACACCTAAAGAGGAATGAAAAAATTGTTAAAAAAATCATGGTTGAAGATTTCATAATTCATGCATCAAAGGGTTAAAATAACTTAGTTTCCATCATAGCAGATACAGTTGCCCGGTCCAAGTCTCTTTCTATAAATATTACCAGTTATTTTATCAAAAGGTTTTTACAGAACACTTCTCCATTTAGTACATTTTTAAGGCCAAAGTTTAAAAACAAAGTTCAGAGCATTTTATTTTGTAAAACTTTGCCTGAAAAAGTGGATAAAACTTCGGCCTAAAGACAAACCAACCAAAGAATAAAGAATCCCTGACAAACGATGTTCATGTCCATCTTTAATGCAACTGCTTGTTGCTAATTTTTCCCCCACAACAGAACAAAATTCTGATAATTTGGTCCTGAATCATATGTAACAACTTATTAAACCCATGTAGAATTCAGAGCGTGGGATATCACTGTAGGAAGTGAGCTACCTCTTCCCCACGGTGGCGAGTCCCAGCCCCTGTCCAGGACGAGGGATGAGCTCCAGACAGAAGACGTCCCACAGGTCCTCCTCCCTGTAGGCCTCCTGGTGCCTGAAGACACACAGCTGAACACGCTGTGTGGTGAGCCGCAGCACCGCGATGGCCTCGTCGTGCGTCGCTTGTCTCAGGTCTATGCCATTCACCTGGAGACACAAACAAGACAAACCGGCTAAGGGGTGGAAGTCAACACCACGGTGATCATGAGAAAAACACATGTAATGCACGTAGATTAAAAAGACAAGAAACAGTCATGAGCTTTTATAGTGTTTCTGTCTCATGATCACATGTCTTTTTGACTTTTTTATCCATCATACCTCTAATATTTGGTCACCAGCCTGCAGCCTTCCATCTCTCTGTGCTGCTCCGCCGTCGTTCACTTCATGGATTATTACTGCCCCCTGGTGGAAAAATGAAAATAAAAAGTCCTTCATTATCACAGAAAAGGTGACATCAAAAAGAGGTGTGCTCATCTAAATAGCCTAACTGGCTGCTGTGAGGCATTGTTTAGTTTTCATTAGCAAGGTTGGATAGACATTATTTTCCAGTTTGGATGTTGCAGCACAGTTTGTACATGAAATAAAACAAATGGTCCATGAACGAAAAGGATAATTGGAATGTTGATTTCAGATACCGACGATCTGTTCTCACCAGCAGAGTGTCACATCCTCCCACAATGCTGAGGCCCAGGCCTAAACTCTCTTTACAGATCTCAATGGTAGTCTCACTTCCAGGGAGAACTGGGCAGCGCCGCGGGTCAGGAGGAGTTGCGAGAGGGGGGCGTGAACAATCAGAACGCTCTACTGGAGAGGTCCGCGTGGTACCAAGAGATGAAGAGCCAACGGGAGTGACCTGGAGGATTTCAGATGACTCAGTGGAAAGAGAAGATGGAAGCGGAGAGGAAGGAGGAAGAGGGGAAGAGGCAGAGAGACTCTTGGAATGACTGATGGAGGGTTTGACAGTGACCCGGTGTTTGACTATCAAACTGGACACCTGAATATAAAGAGGACAGGACAGTCATAAATCATTGAGTCGCCATGGCCTTGAAGTACTTTGTGTGTGTGTGTGTGTGTGTGTGTGTGTGTGTGTGTGTGTGTGTGTGTGTGTGTGTGTGTGTGTGTGTGTGTGTGTGTGTGTGTGTAAGTGTGTGTGTGTGTGTGTGTGTGTGTGTGTGTGTGTGTGTGTGTGTGTGTGTGTGTGTGTGTGTACCTTTTCCACTGACAATCCAGTGACATGTTCATCACCCACTGCTACAATTCTGTCTCCAACTTTTATCCTTCCATCCTAGATGAAGGAACAGGGATTTTAAAACATGCAAAATAGGGAGATTGAACAAAAGTGTGTGCTTAAAAGACATTAAAGAGATGAAAAATCAAACACACCCTCTGGACAAATATCTGCATAAGTGCAGCCTGGAGCCATACATGGAAGCGTATTAACACATGACGACACCTTGTTACAAAATGCAACCACCATTTGGAGTTGAATCCCATTTAAATACTTCCAGAAATACACTCGAGGAGCTACACCAGATTCCACGATTGGATGCGCTTTACATTAGTGTGATACTTTCCAGCAGATGTTTATTCTCATGAATGAGATCAAACCACTGATAGGTTAGAAATAAATGATGAAATAACCTGCAATCAATTAGACCAAAAAACCCAAGATATTGATCAAGCCATGAAAGGAAATGATTAACAGGAGTTGTCTAAGGAGCTTTGAAAGAAAAGCGTCTGGACTTCTTTGAGTTGCTTGAAGACGTTTCACCTCTCATCCGAGAGGCTTCTTCAGTTCTAAGCAGTGTTGCCAGATCCAAAATCCCACAATATCGTACAGAGAGGCCTAAATTATCGTTTTTCAGTACAAATTATCGTACATTATAAATTTGATAATAACGTTCTATAAACGACTTCTCACTCCAATATAATATAACAAAGAAAGTGCTTTATATTGCCCTGTTTAAATAAACATCTTTAAAACCAGTAATATAATGCCTATAAACGTGCAGAGTGTGTCGGCACCACTCCGACCTCCACACATTGACACAACATGCACATTTGCGCAGTCCTATTTATGTCATTTCTACATAGGTTAAATGCACGCGGCAAAACATCACAGCAGTGGAAAAACTGACCCAATAAATGACACAGCAGCCTACTCACCTAGTTGCTGATCTCGATCTCCTCATCTGATTCACTGTCTGTCGCAGCAGAATGCCTTTAATCACCTGTACTAAGTGGTCTGTGCTTCTCATTGCAATGTTGTGCTGAACTTTCTCCAGCTCAACCAGGACAAAACTGAAGTTTTAGTCATTGGTCCTGAGGCCCAGAGAGAGAAGCTTTTACCGAAATTACAATCTCTGTCTTTTAATCCATCTGAACAAGTGAAGAACCTGGGTGTGATTTTTGACTCTGAGCTGACTTTTATCCCACACATTAAAAATATCACAAAAATAGGTTTTTATCATCTAAAGAACATCGCCAGAGTCCGCCCCATTCTCTCTCGGGCCAATACGGAGACGTTGATGCATGCTTTTATCACCAGTAGGATAGATTACTGCAATGCCCTGCTTTCTGGTCTTCCCAAAAAGAGCATCTCAGGCTTACAAATTTTACAAAAATCGGCAGCACGTGCCCTGATGAAGACCAGGAGGCGGGAGCACATGACACCAGTTTTAGAATCATTGCATTGGCTCCCCGTATGTTTCAGGATCAATTTTAAGGTTCTTCTAATGGTTTTTAAGTGTCTTAACGGTCTTGGGCCTTCTTATCTATCAGAACTGCTTTTACAATATGAACCCTCGCGGACTCTGCGCTCCTCTGGCAGGCGTCTCCTGGTCATCCCTAAAGTCAGGACACAAACTCACGGCGAGGCGTCCTTCCAGTGTTATGGCCCTCGCCTCTGGAACGAGCTGCCAGAGGACCTCAGGGCCGCAGAGAACATTCATGTTTTTAAGTCCAGGCTCAAGACCCATCTTTTTAGGTTAGCTTTTATCTAAATATTTTCTACAGTTTTATTCCTTGTTTTACATGATTATATTTTATTACTTGCTTTGCATGTTCTATATGATTATATTTTAGCAGTTTTATTATTTAAATTATTATTTTACTGTCTATGATTTTATTTATTACTTATTTTCTAATTGTTGTCATTTATATTAGCTCTTTTATTACATTTTTACTCATTTTAATCCAGTGTTTCCTCTGTGGGGGCCCTCTGCCCCGGGAGCGGTGGTCGACTGTAGCTTCCTGGGCGCTCTATAGGTGGGGGTCTATGCTCCCCCTCCACTGAGCGCCCTGACTTAGTGTGGAAGACCTGATGCTGCCGGGGAAGACGGCTCCTCTGATGGCGTTTCCTTGCGTTACCTTACTTGGCTCATCTGGACTCAGCCTAATATAATTTTTACTCGTGTGTGTGTGTGTGTGTGTGAGTCTGTGTGTGTGTGCGTGTGCTTGCATATGTTTGTTAATGTTTTTAACCTGTTATGGGAATCTGGGGTCATTTTGTAAAGCACTTTGAATAACACTTTGTTTGAAAAGCGCTTTAGAAATAAAATTTGATTGATTGATTGATTGATTGATTGATTGATTGATTGATTGATTGATAAAAAGCCACATAGCTTGATTTCAGCATTTTTCACATCATTTTCAAACTTCTCTTTTTCATTAGTTTGTAGGAGACATTTAAGTATAGATGTCTGGTTTGGCGCAATGCATTTTACCCTTTCTTTGTGTTTAGCTCCCTTTGCATGATTCTAGAGAACGATGATTTCTGATACCATCTGGATGTTGCAGCAATGACAGAAAGCCTTGGTTTTGTTCCCCGTAACAGGTGCAAGCCATCCTTTGAAAATAGGGTCCAACTCCCACATAGAACGATAAACTTGTGTCCGGTGTTGCTTTGCTTTACCTTCATCTGTCCCTTCTCTGGTTTTTCTTTTAAGATTAGAAGCCATTGTCTCGTCGCTCTGTCCTCCTAGCTTAGACTTAACTCGACGCGCTCGCGGGCAAACAGCAAAAACCGGCGGGCCACTGCCACATTATATAACCTTACAATTTCTTGCGAGAGTAGGCCCTATCGATGTGATTGGGCTACTTATTGTACAGATCCAGAGTCAGTTTTTGTAATAGACACAATAGCATAAACCTGTAAGCACTGAGGCGAAATCTGACTGCAGAACAGTTTAAAATTGTGTAATTGACTTGGGAATGCCACAGCAAAAGACGGTGTTACTAGATGCAATGTGAAATTATCGTACATTTTAGGATTTTTGAAACTATTAATCATACATCGTACAGAGCCCAAAATTATGGTACAAATACGATAATTATTGTACATCTGGCAACACTGGTTCTAAGGTGAAATGGTGGAGAGTCCCAGATTTAAACCCAGTGGGAGTTTCCCCCCGAAGAGGGAACAAAAGACCCCCTGATGATCTTCTACATAAACACATTGAGGGTGGGTGTGGGTCCTATTCAGCCAGAGTTTCGGGTGAGCTCATTGTGAAGCCTGGTCCCACCCTATCATGTGAATTCCTGAGGTCAGATGGCCCAGGATATGCGTGGGCGTTGAGGCATCTGGGAAGGGATCTCAAAACTGGATTATAGATGGAAGACAGTTGGTGTCGTAAACCACCGCCTCTGTTCAAAGATGGTTGCTCACAGTGGACATAAATGGCTTCCTTTACTCCTCTTTCAAACCATATGTCCTCTCTGTCCAAAATATGAACGTTGGCATCCTCCAAAGAGTGACCTTTGTCCTTTTTTTTTTTTTGAGATCCCTTCCCAGATGCCTCAACGCCCACGCATATCCTGGGCCATCTGACCTCAGGAATTCACATGATAGGGTGGGGCCAGGCTTCACAATGAGCTCACCCGAAACTCTGGCTGGATAGGACCCACACCCACCCTCACACCTTGGCTCATGTGTTTATGTAGAAGATCATCAGGGGGTCTTTTGTTCCCTCTTCAGGGGGAAACTCCCACTGGGTTTAAATCTGGGACCCTCCACTATTTGACCTTAGAACTGAAGAAGCCTCTCGGATGAGAGGTGAAACGTCTTCAAGCAACTCAAAGAAGTCCAGACGCTTTTCTTTCAAAGCTCCTCAGACTAAAATGACCTGGATGACTGAGAACCTTCACAGACATTAACAAGAGTTACGTGCGTGGTAAAGTTTGTGAAAGGAAGAACTTCTTTGCCCAAGCATTATTATTTTTTCCATCATGAACTAGTTTAAAGTGTTTCTGTTGCTTTTTTGAAATCGTTGATTTTTAATTTAAGTTATGATTCCAGATAATCCAGATATTCTTGGACAAAGACTGACTGTGGAGTTCCTCAAGGGTTTGTGTAAAGAAAAATTAATTATCTAGCTTTCCTATTGTTAAATTGGCCAGTTCTTCTGCGATGGACTGGCAACCTGTCCAGAGTGTACTCCACCTGTTTGCCCAGAGATTTCCCCGCGACCCATATGGACATGCAGGTGAAGAAGAAGGATGGGCCAGTTCTTACAACTGTTTTCCTTCATTCAGATACATTATTTTCAGAAAACGATGCACTCTGTTTGATCTTAAAGAGGAGCTAGAGAAAGACCAGTAGGAGAACAAACTACGTTTTAAAAAGGCACAAAAATCATAGCTGGAACTAGAATCTTGTTTAGTAAAACCAAAAAAAGGAGAGATGGCAATTTGGCGCACTCCTGTGGTAAAATACTAGAGCTGAACTAAACTCTAAAAACCTTGAACTTACTATTGAGAAAAAAACAATTAAGCTTTTTCATCCCCATTAATCTGAAAAAATATATAAATCTTTCTTTTTGTCCTCTCATTAGTAATATTATAGGAGGAGGAGAAAGATAAAGAGCTAGTTGATGAGGAGGAGAAGAAGGAAGAGAAGGAGGATGAGACAGAAAAGGGGGGCGGTGGAGGATGAGAAGGAGAAAGAGAAAAAGGAGGTGGAATGAGAGAAAGGAATGGTACAAAAATCCTAGCTGGAACTACACCCTTGTTCTGTAAATCCAGTTGGAAAAACGTTGAGACGGTGATTTGGCACCCTCCAGTGGCTGGAACGTTAAATCTAATCTAACCTGATGCTTCTTTTGGTCCTCTTGTGAACATTAATATTAAGAAGAGCATTGGGGGAAGGAGGAGTAAGACGGGGAGGAGAAGGAGGATGAGACAGAGGAGGAGCTAGTTGAGGAATATGAGAAAGAAGAGGAGGGGCCAGAGGATGGTGGAATGAGGAGCATGGAGGTAAAGCTAAAGGAGGAGGAGCAACAAAATGACAAGAAGGAGCTAGAGGAGGATAAGGAGAAGATAATCAAACACCCTAGCTGGAACTACACTCTTGTTCTGTAAATCCATTTAGAAAAAAGTGGAGATGGGGATTTAGCGTCCTCCAGTGGTAAAAGGCTCGAACTAAACGTTGATTCTACTAACTATTGAGGTAAGAACATTTTAGCCTTTTTATCTTTATTATGCTGAAAAAGAAAATTCTTATATTTGTTTTTGTCCTCTTGGCATCATTAATTTAAGGAGGAAGAGGAGGAGGAAGAAGTATTTTAATCTTTTTTTTTTTTGTCCTGTTAGGAGCATTGATGTTGGGCGGAGGAGGATGCAGGTGAAGAGAAAAGTACTTTTAAAAAGTCCAAAACACCTGCTGGAACTACACTCTAGTTCAGTAACACCATTTAGTTCCAGGGTATTTGGCTGTAAACTTGGAGTTATTCTGAGATTATTGATCCATTTTTAGGTCCAGTGTTGTCAAAGTCTGCATGCAAAATACAAGTGTTCAAGAAAATGTACGTATGTGATGCAAGTGAACGAAATGAACCTAAATGAAAGAGACATGGGAATGTAATCCATTACCGATGGTCATACCAACACCTTTGATGAAGCCTCACCTTACTGGCAGTGCTGTGCTGAGTTATGGACCTAACCACCACCCCTTTTTTGGACTCATCTGTATCAAGGTGAAGGCCAAGACCCACGTGATTCTGGTGCATGTTATGAAAAGCAGAAAAGCACAGTTGTTAGTCTAACAGCAGCTAAAGCCAAGACAATGTAAGACAGATTCAATGACAGCAGCACACGTAAGTTACCTGAGGTAAGACGACATGCTCAAGGCCTATGGATAGTCCTTTACCCTCCACCGTGTCTGGTTCACAATTCCCTCTGTCCGTGCTCCCTCGTCTGATTCCCTTCGCCATCTGACCTGGTGTGTTTCTAGGGAATCAAAACTCATGAAAACCTTGATTGTTCTGGGTAAAAACATCAGAGATTCTGTAAATGCTAGAAGATGGTCTTGAATTTACCTAATGAGGATAATCTTGACTTTAGATGGGGCATTGTTGATGATGGTGGATGCATTTTGGTGACTCCGGCCGTACAAGATCTGACCATTGATCTTAAAAAAGCATATTGTCGTTAACATTTGTCTTCTTTATTTGTTTTTTTCCGTGTCCTGTCTCGCTGTGAAGCAAACAAAATTAATGTCTGAATGCTGGTGACAAGCCCTACAGATTTACTCTCAGGTAGAGCATAAAAGCTTCAGATTGTAATGTCACGCCTGATACTTAAAACATTATTGTTGTTGTTTTTGAATGCTTTGTAACTTCGACCGGACACAAAGACAGAGGTGAAAGAGAAAGGACAAACATTGTTTAACTGAACAATCACATGATAATAAATCACAGTGCATTTAGCGCCAACCACAGCCTTAAGACATGTGTTGAAAATGCCCAAGTCCATACTTATGAGAGCACCATGTGAGCATCTGTGTGCATACATGCGCTTGTTTATGTAAGGTTTCTCTTTAGGGGCGTCCAATAGAGAGTGTGAGGGACCACAGATCTGCCCCCCAAAGATGCGTAGGAGACGGAGGGAGCTTCAAGTCCCAGAGATCCAGGAGGATTAACATTTATCTTCAAGAAAAGAAGCTTCCCATGCGATGACTTGGAAATACTTAATTTTTTTCTAGAAGTTTTTTTTTATTCCATCCATCGCATTTAGTTCTGTCATCAGCCCTTCCCTTCTCACATGGTTTTCTCTTCCTTTCCAGCTTCTTCTTTAAAAACACATTTGCACCAGGCATCCCCTTTACAACTTCTATCTCCTAATGGTTGTCCCATTGCACTTTTCCTCTTACCTCCAGTAGTTCGTCTCCAACCTGTATCCTCCCATCCAAGCCAGCAGGCCCATGAGGGTCTATTTCCGCCACGTAGACACTCATGCGAGCCCGGGAGCCTTCCTCGTTGCCTGTAAGGCTGATTCCCAGACCATGAGCTGCAGGGTCTTTCTCTAGCTCAATCATGTGAAGCTTTCCTGACAGGCTGCCATAGCGCTGAAGCATCTTCTCTAGAGGAAAGTGTTAACAAACAGAAGGCTGTTAAGGGAAGAATATACTGGCTCAGCCAAAAAGTGTGGTCTACTCAATTTAATGACTGAAACATGGAGACATACGGCAAAGCACTACACCCAGGAGGGCAATATGTGTGTGTTGCTGCAATACTCCTGGGATGAATGTCACACTTGCTCTGGAAATGGAGGACAATGTCTATGTTTCTGTTAAATGCACAAGTATGGTATAACCCTAATTGTACAGAGTGTGGTTTGGGTGTGAGGGCATGAGTGCATCAACACACTGATTGCATCACTGAAATAAAATTGTAAATAGTTGCTTGTGTGTATGAATCTAAGGCCCTGTTCCCACTGGAGACCATCCCTGCAACGTCCTAAAAAAGCAGATGGTTACTGGTTGGTCTTCACAGGATCTTTGTGAAATCTTCAGATGAGTATTTAGAACCCATGGGCTCACAGCATTTCCATAGTATTATTGTGTTTCTTTTTTTTTAACATGGTAGTATAGAGGATCAGTGTGTGATGCTATTGTATCCATGAAGAAGGGGCCTCGTCTCATGGTTTATAGCTGAGGAATTGAAGCGGGACCGGTTGGGATCCTGTCTAGAAATTGAAGAGAGCTGATGCCTATCTGTAGCGGTCAACGGGCCAAAGACAGGGGACACCATGGACATGTTGCCTGTCCATCAAAAACATTCAAACACCGACTCTTAGCTATGGAGTGTTGCATTAATCTAAACATGTCATTTTTATTTCATGTTGGAAAATGATGAATGCATAGGGAGAACATGCTGACTTCATGCAGAAAGGCCACGCAGGCGGGATTCAAACCAAGACAATAGTGCTACCAACTTCGCGTGCCTAAACTCCCACACTACATGTGAATAAACACGACTTTCGCCTAATTAAAAATGAAATGACTTCTCACATTGAGTTGATTTGTCTGGCACTGCCAGCCCCATATCTCAAATGCGCAGACTCTGGCTCTGACATACAACTTGGCAAGGCCCGTAAAGGGATATGATGGCAAATGGCAGTTGTACTTGATCTGTCTTTACATGTCACGTCTCACATGGAATATTTCCAAATACAGATTTTTTTAATGCTGCCATCAGTGTAATTTGTCAGTCAGAACACCAAATATAATTGCTAATTATGGCAAATAGTCTAACTAAATTTGCACCAAGCCCCATGTGAAAACTTCTTCTTCAACTATAAATCCTGAAATGTGATACTCCAAAGCTACTTCATCATCTGTTTTATTGTTACACCTGCCAGGTGTAACAGAAATGTTTCCTTTCCCTTTGTTCAGAGTGATCCAATGTTTTTTTTCTTCTGCTGAAAAAGATTATGAATTGAACACTGAAGCTTTTTCTTAGCATGTAGATGTTTTAGCTAGCTGTTGTCATGGCAGCTGTTTAGATAGTTACAGGTCATTCCATTCAATCGGGAAGCATCCAAAACAAATTAATTGTTCTGGCCAGCTGGCTTTACTTGTAAATGCCATGAAAAACAGTTTGAGATAAGGGTCCAAAACTGTAAAAAAAATCAGCGTCGGAGAGCTTGATGACATTTTATGAGCATTGATGTGAAAATGTCTTTTATCCGTTTAGGCTGTGCAGGATCCCTATTTATGTCTTTGTGACGTCTTTACGATGCACACTTACTCCTGCTAGTGTTGTCTCCGTCTTCAGCTGCCGCTACGACTAGGGGTGTGACATTTATGGGGCTTCTCCGATCCATTCTATCGGAGGACGGCGAAGGTGCCTAGGGGAGAAGTTTTTGCATTATTGAACAGGCAGAGTTTGAGATGCCTCGGGGGTCCTTCAGGCACGAGTCAGATGGCCCCTGAGGCTCGTTCAGTGTGCTTGATGAAGCAGAGGGAAACACTGACGAACGGGATGAATTAATGAACAAAGTATTTAATGCGGGCTAAAAATAACATGAAAGATGGCCAAAATCATGCATTATTTTGTGGCAAACTTAAAAGTACATGAGAAAATAACTTCAAAAGATCACATACTCTATTTAGAGCTGTGCAACTCCATCAAAGCAAAAAATAACAAAGAATTTCAACAAACAAGGTAGCTGCAAGGGACTTTGAACTGCAGGGGTTCTATTTACAAATATGCACGTTAATTACTTTCTTGCAAGTTGTTTTGATGTAAATGCAAGGCTGCTTTAAAGATTCTGCATCCTGGTGGTACAACACACACATTTACACACATACACATACACGCACTAACCTTAAAGGGTGTGGGAGTGAAGGGATTTGCATGGGAGAGACTAAGGAACAGACTGCTGGGAGTTTCTGCTTCCTATCAGGAAACAGATACAGTTCTACACAAAATGCAACAAAAAAAATAAACACATCTTCCACTTGAAACACCCCATCCTCTTCAGGATTTCTGGATTTCCGTGTAGGTGTTAAAATGACTCATCACACTATATATAACGCAGCGTATATATAACACACTCGATTCACTCCTGCTTAGAGACTGCCAAACATCAGTAACTGTGTGGAAACAGAAATCAGGCAGGAAAATAATTCACATCTCCACATTTGTTCAGGTAAAAGTTAAGTTTCGGGTGTCAAAACATTAGATAAATACTGCGGCTGCAACTCTTCACCTCTGCAGGGCAGTGTTAAGTTTATGCTTTGACGTCCAGAAGTCTTTCAGCTTAAAAAGTATATAGGACATTTCATGGACGTAATTTTGGGGGGGGGGGGGGGGGGGGGGGGGGGGGGGGGTTTGAACGACATGTCCCCCCATTTTTTCCAAAGTCAAGTTTTGACCCTTGCACTTTTTACCATCCAAAAACAATATTACTTTATACTAAATTGACACTGGTTGAGCTCTAGGACCAAGCGGAAAACAACCGTTTGTGTATAAGCCTGTTTTCCATTAGAACATACTGTAAAGACACCCCCCCCCCCCTCCGTGCCCCCCCCCCCCCCCCCACATCACCCCACAAACACACAAACTTCTAAAGTCAAAATTACGTCCATGGGACATTTTATCATCAAAAGAAATGTTTCAAAGCTTCATCTCCCTCCCTGGAGCATTTAGACCATGGAAATACTGGTACAGACACCGATTTATTATTATTTGGTGATTTTCTTTGCCAGTCAACTTCGATTGAATAACCATTTGGAAAATCCAGTTAAGCTGTGTCCATACACATCTATGGTCAATGAATCATTGAACAATGTACAATTTAGTCAACGGGTGGACATTTCAAACACGGCCCAAGACATCGGCCACCCATGCGCATTTTGAGTCACCCACTGCCATCCATGAAGTTGATCAATCTGAATCCCAGTCACCACACATAGTGGACCCCATATGGAATTTATATGGGCAAACATTATGGGTCCCAACAGGGTTTGTAGGTCTAACACTGGTCCATTAAAATCTTTTTGGGCAAACCCCTGTGGAGCCGCCGTGGAAACTACAGACAAACCCTGTTGGGACCCATAGGGCTTGCCCAGATACTGTATATTCCATATGGGGCCCACCAACATGTGCTGGCTGGGAATGATCATATTGACTATTTGTGCTATTTAGCTTCTTTATGATGCTACATACATTTTACTTCTGGAATGTGTTAGTGCACATCTTGCAACATCGTGTTTGCTATCTTGCTTTAGGAGTGACCCTAAATCTTTCTTAAAAGTCATTAGAAAATGATGTCCCTGACGTCAAAAATCCGGGGTAAGTGTGACTGGCATGCACATCGGATGTTTTAGTGCCAAGTTGTTCAAGACTCTGCTTGTAGTGTAAACAAAGGTCATAGTCTATGAACACGGAAGAATCTGAACGTTTGCCTCATTTATATGTTAGATTTGTGTCATTAGAACAAATCGTAGACAAGAGTATATGCAAAGGTTGTTGCTGACGACAAAACCAAGGGAAAATATTCCTGGTGAACACAAGGATGCTGTTGTCAAAATGCCCACCATCTTGGACTTTTTAATAGCCAGTAAACCAAATATGTTTAACCCTCTGGAGGCAGGCGTTGCAGATTTGCAACGTTAAAACCTACCTACCTGGTTACTCCACGTGCGTATTTCATGAGCATTTTTTTAACTCAGAAGTACCCCTGAAGGACTTAGTTGTTCGTCCTTTCATCAAAACTTAATTTGAGCCTGAGAGGGTTAACAAACTGCAAATTTTGATTCATATTTTGAATTTTGCACAATATTGGAGACATTTGGCTTTTATCCCCCCTATTATTTAAATACCAGATAGCAGATAGCCTAGCATGAGAGCAGCCTCACCTTGTTGTTGTGTGAGTTGGACAGTGGTGTCGGAGATAGTCTTTCATGACTGATGGGATTAGGAGACTGTGGGGGAAACACAAGGTATAGAGCAGGAGGATGAAAACCAATAGAACTGTGACATACGAGTACAATTCTGATTATATTATGAGTAAAAGGATACTTTTATTTAATATCTTATCTGTCTCAGCAACATCATATTTTCCTGTTGCAAATATTGATGCCCATCTCGTGGGGCTTTCTAGCACAAAATACACCAAAACGCCAATTGTATTGAAATTGATCGTAAAGCTGTCTACAGCCTCAAGAAACTGGTGATTTACCAAGAGAGGTTTACATCCCTGAAAGCAGAGTTTAGATGTTTGCTGGTCATTTCTGAAAGGCAGTACCTGAGATTCAGCTTGTCCAGATTGAACCACAAGGACCACAGTGTCTCCGGCCCGACGGATGGCTTCTACTGCCTGCTCATGGCTGGCATCTCTGAGGTCCACGCCGCTTACCTTAGCCAAGAAAAGAGACATTTGATGGACAATGCTAATGTTTGGTTGGCCGATGAATACATCACAGCAATGTTCTAAAACTGGATAAAGAAAATAGTTAATGGTAAGTTTAATTTGTTGTTTTTTTCATTAGTTTAATTTTCTTTTGAGCTGCATCCACTTCTTTATATTCAGAGCAGCGTTAGTGTTGTTCATATTAGGGTTAGGGTTAAGTTTCATGTTATTATAATGAGCTTGCTGTAGTGTGATATTAGACATTTAGAGTTGCCCTTTTCTCCCTTTGTTCTCTTTACTGGGTGATCTCACCTTTTCTCACTCGGCAGCCAGCCCTCCCAGTATGTCTGGCTCTCAGTTTTCGTTTTACCTGGCTGCCACCTGCACTGCTTAAAAACTGCGCATGGAATATCAGTCTAAAAACTGATTTATTATAAATACTTTGATTAAAAAAAGAACAAAACGTGTTTTGTTGCCAGTCATTCCAAAGTCGGTCTAACACTAGCTGTTCACCTTTGCACATTAGTGATCATACTGTAAGAAAAACTCCTAATTAATAAAAAAATAAAGAGAAACCATGTTTTTAACCAAGTGTGCGGATTAGTTTGATTTTGAATTGTTCCGTGATTTCCATGAGGGAGTCTACGACAACGTTTCTGACGGTTGATCACTGTTTTTGTTGTTCTCTGCTTGTGTTGTTCACACTACTCAACAACAGAATGACATGTTTTCTAGCCCTCATCTGCCCGGTGCTGTTGAGACCGAGCTCACAGCAGCCAAGTTTTTTTTTCTTGATGGCTGATGCAAGTTGAACCTGACATGGTCCTCTTCTGTTACAGCCCATTCGCCTCAAGGTTCAACATGCTGTGCATCCTGCTGCCATTCTGCTTTCACTGTTGTGAAAAAAAAACGTTATCCGAGTTACAGCAGCTCCTCTGTCAGCTCAAACATGAGCGGCTGTTCTTCTCCATCTCTGACATCAGCAGCCTGACCCCTAACAGTCATGCCTCACTGACAGACACATTTAGATACACCCCCAATGGTTTAAATAGGGAGCCTACGTCTCCTCGACTCGTGCGCCCCCAGAAAAACGAAAAAATGAATGCAAGTCAACGGCTAAAAACACTATTCTCTAATCCGCTTTGCTTCACCCCCGGATCGCACATATGTTGTACTTGAATTTAAATGAAAAGAAACAATGGCTGTTTCGACCTCACCAGTGACATACTTTGAGAATCATCAGCTAGTAAACGATTGTAATTAGCATGACCAAAAATCCAACACGTTCTCAAGCAAAGCATCTAAAACTGACGAAGGGTGAGCTAGCGTTACTTCCCGACGTGTTGGGGCTCCCACGCGCTATGCCAGAGTGTCTCTTTCCGATGCCCACTGTAAAACGAAGAGTTTAGCAAACTGTGACCTTTACCCTCTTGCAATTTAACCTTCCCCTCACCCCCATCCTAACCTTAACCCACTTGCACATGCTGAACTTTGTTTCTTGTTGTATCGTTCCTCTCAAACACAGTTAATGTGAACTTTACAACGAGAAACTGGGTTAAGGTTAGGATGGGGGTGAGGGGCAGGTTAAATTGCTAGAGGTTAAATGTCGGTGAAATCTCCGTTCTACTGCGGGCGTCTGAAAGACACGCTCTGGCACAGAGCGTTGCCTCCCGGCGCATCGGAAGCCCCAACGCGTCAGAAAGAAACGCTTGGTCACCCTTCATCAGTTTTAGATACTTTAGGTGTGAGAACGTGTTGAAAAATCAGATGTCGGCACGTCGTATATGTGACGTCACCACCGAATCTCTTCGCCCTTGGCATAGCTGCTATTTAACACATGGCAAGAAGATGGTTCTTTCCTCCTGACGGAAGGATTCAAAGTTTGCTAAACTACAGGCATTTTCCTCTGGTCTTCTCCGTGTCTGGTTTGATGACGTCAATTTGGTGAGACGTTTGTCCCTGTTCAAAAATGAGTGCTGTCTTGGCATCAGAAAGTGTCTTTAAAATTCACATCATATGTGAAATCCAAGGCACAGAACAGACGGGGTTACGAAATAGCTTTTAGATCCCCGTTGACTAACATTCATTTTTGTTCTTCCGGGTCTGGAAGTAGATGGGCGTGACCTAGCCTCCCTATGGGTATGGGTCTGAAATCATTTTTATGAGTAAGACTTAAACGTGGCCAATAGGAAACAGAGACTAAATGATCTTCCGTGATTTTGTCCTGTGATGTACAGTGACAAGTAGGACAATCTTAGAAAATGGGCAAAGTCGACATCAATCAATCAATCAACCAATCAATCAATCAATCAATCAATCAATTAATCAATCAAAACTTTATTTATCCCAGGGGGAAATTAGAGTTTCAGTACACACAATTCAGAGATCAGACATAGATGGGCAAGACACATGACAAGAATTGGTGACTGTGGTCCTTCGCAACAAGAGTCTCGCTACCTTAATAGATGAAAAGGGAATTACATGAGGATGGATTGGGGGAGGGAAAAAAGGGCACACAAGAGTTACTCCCGGCAGGGCGTAGCTTTACTATGCAAAAAAACAAAAAACAAAAAAACGCCTCAACATATACGCACGAACGTTGCAGTTCACAACATGAGACTCCGATGGGGGGGTGGGGGTGCTGGGATCCTGGTTCCTCAGCGGGAGCAGCCCATGTGGCGCTCAGCCAACTGTATCCACAGGTGGTTGGGAGGTTATGGGAAAGGGAGCAGAGCATATTGAGTTCCTGCATTTTGATGACCTCACTAGGCAGAGACCACAATCTGAAGGCGGGGGGTAGGTCGGGTTTTCACAGCATCTGCCTGCATTTCTTCCATCGTGGGGGTTGTTGCACACAGCTCCAAGGCTGCTTAGGCGTCAGACTGGATAACAAGACTTTGTTTGGGTCAGGCAGAGATAATTTTCCTCTCTGCCTTAACGTCTGTATTGATCATTCAAGTCCTCCAGTGAAGCCAATTCAGGTATTAAACATCCCCACACCGTCCGGTGACCCTCTCCGAGATGACATCCATTTTGCGCACTAATACCGGCAATGCAGCAAGGACATTGTCCAGCTTACGGTTCACCTCGAGTAACGTCCCAGTCTGTGAGGCATCCGCCCGGGCGGTGCTTGCCATGGGTGCGGGTCGCATTCCAATCGCTCCCGACTTCCCAAATTTCCAGAAAACCAGATATCCTCCAACTCCAATCAGAAGAAATCCAGTGAACTTCAGGCCAAATATCCACGTATCTTCGACGTCCTCAATGGACAACTGAGAGAGACAAACGATCCTCCAGACCTTCCAGGAATCGAGCGCATATCCCGCTGCGTGTGTCCCTTGAGGGCAAGAGGGGAGCCCCCTCCTCCGTTCTCATCGTGGAAAAGATCTTATCAATCGCGTTGAATGACCAATTAATTAAATCCATTTCTAAAAAATAGGGATTTCCAGGAGAAATGCAGAGAAGAGCTCTGTAGGCAGATGGGACAAAGAGCCTTGGGAAAAAGATAAGGGAGCAAAAAGGGAAGCGTCTGTACTCTGCGAGTGCCAGAAGAAGTGTTCCTTCCTATTCAGTCATTGCTTATGTACTATCTATGTTATCCTGATTTTTCAGTAAAAGACTTACACCAACACCTAACTGCAGCTACATTTGCAGACAAAAACATGGAAATTCACCAGTCTATAATTAAGCTATAACTTGATGTGACACTAACTGAAAAATCATCAAATTAGATTATATATTTCAAGAGTTATGTAAGATTTATGTTTAAAACATTGCCATTAACTTTTAGGAAATCATGTCATCAAAACGATCACCACAGTTATCCACTTATGTACATTTTTAAAAATGACCCTAAATTAGTTAATGTGGTTTCTTATAAGCTTAAATTGATGTGGTAGTAGTTGAGGATCAACATGAACTTTCAGTACTTGCGGACCGTGCAAGACATTACAACACTGAATGAAATCACATTTTTCTCTTGAAGATTTAATCAAAACTGCTAACACTTGATCAGCCATGAGCATGAACTGGGGATTTTAACTGATTTAAGGAGCCTTGTCATTTTTTATGCCGTTACCTGTTTTTGCAGTTTTCACTCATGTGCTCTTTCCGACTAAATGATGCCGTTTTTTTCACTATAGTTCACTTAGTCGTAGTAGGCACATATGCAAACTGTTGTAATTCCTACACCGTTCACCTGATTTCAATGTGAATACCCTCAAATAAAAGCTGACAGTCTGCAGTTAAAGCACATCTTGTTCGTTTCATTTGATAGCCATTGTGGTGGTGTATAGAGCCAAAAATGTCAGCATTGTGTCGATGTCCCAATATTTATGAACCTGACTGTAGTTTTTATCATTGTTGCAGAGTCTGAATGATAAAAATGCTGATTTTAGCTATTTTTAGATGTAAATCATACAACACACACAAACCCACTAACGTTTTCTTTCCATGTCTAATACATGTCTATCTTTCTTTGTTTCTGCAGCACACTAGCACACATCTGGTCCATGCATGCAAACAAACCTCCAGGAGCCTGTCTCCAATCCTGAGGGTGCCATTATGAGCAGCTGGGCTGTCGGGGCTGATGTTTTTGATGAAGACACCCCTCATCATTTCCCCGCTGCTCAGCCTTCTCCCCATTCCTCTGCCTCCCATGATGCTGATACCCAGGGATTGGCCTGGTGCTCGAGTCAGCTGCACTCTGTAACACAGACCGGGAGGTGCTCTCAGACAATGCTCACCAGATTGATGCAAAAGTTCAGCAATGTATGTATATTAGATTTTTTTAAGAGGTGTGCAATTAGTTCAGGGTTCTCCAAACTTTTTCAGTTTCCTGCTCTCTGCTGCTAAGCACTGCAGAATCTGAGATTAATATATAAAAGAAAAAGAAAGAAAAAACAGCTGCCAGAGAGCCACACTAAAGCTGATTTTCTGGGCATGGCCTTTTGGTGACTTATCCTGGTGGCATGCACGAACAAATTCAGTAAAAACACTCTGGAGAAGTCGTCACATCCTCTGAACCCCTGAAACTTGATAATTCTGCTCTACTCCTGCTGAGAACATCCTTTTGGCTCTCTGAGATTCTTTCATGATTATAGAAATCCTGATCGGCCATATAAGCAAACCTGCAAAGAAACAGAAAATCTGAATAATATCCACTGACAGTGTGACAAAATTTGCTTATTTACTAACCTTCTAGGTTGATCCCAAGACATTGTTGTGCACGAATGAAACTCTTTATTGTTCTCCTCCTTTCCATCCACTGTTATGTGCACATCAGGCGTTGGAACTTTTACATCCACAGTCGCTTTCTCTCTTTTTTCCTTCACCGTGTCACCATCGTTTTCCTTCTCCAAACTTTTTTGAGGATATTTCGGAAATTGCCAACTAGTAGCAGAAAAGGAAAAATTCCAAGAAAAATAAGATTTACTAGGTTACAGAATGAAAATCCTCATTACTGCGTGATAATCCCATAAACATCAGTTGTGGTTTTTTTACAATAGATAATACACTCAAGGCATCTTTATTAGGGACTTGTGTTATATTGCGTAAAACAAATATCTAATCAGCCACTCACATGGCAGCAATACCAAATATTAAGGCACATGATGAAGACAGCTTGCTGAAGGTTAAACTGAGCATCAGGATGGAGAAGAAAGAAGATGCAAGTGACTGTAGATGGTGTAGAAGATGTAGCTTAACCCTAACCAGATTGGCTGGTCAGAGTGCCGCAGAAACCGCTCATCTACTGAGATTTTCAGCCACAACTATTTGGGTTTACAGAGCAAAAAACAGGTGTGTGGATGAAAATAACTGTCTTTTTGATTTCAGAGGATAACAGAAAAACTGGTTTTAATCTATAGAAAAGCAACAGTAGCTAAAAAAACACTGATTACACGAGCTTTTACAAGACTGGGAAAGCATTTCTTGGTCCGATGAGTCTCCATTTCAGTTCCAACATTCAGATAGTCTAATCAGAGTGTCAACAACATAAAAGCATGGATTCATCCTGGCTTGTACTAACGATTAAGGTTACTAGTAAGTAAGTAAGTAAAAGTTTATTTACAGAGCACCTTTCACAGATATAAATCACAAAGCGCTGTACAACATGAGTAAGATCAGGGTAAATACCTCTAACCAATAAAAACATCAGAAAAACAATAGCAGTGATAAACGTAGAAAAAAAATCATGAGTAAAAACAAAGTGAAGGTGTGAACCCAAACAAAGCCATCTTTTAGAACATTTAGGGAGGGAACACCTGGAGGAAAAGGTGAGTTTTTAGATGATTTTTAAAGACCTCTACAGTGTTAGAGAGATGGAGATTTGAAGGTAGACTGTTCCAAAGTCTGGGTGCAATAGTCTGAAAGGCCCTGTCCCCTTTGGTTTTCAGTCTGGTTCGAGGAACAGCCAGGAGGTTTTCAGATGTGGATCTAAGGTTCCGAGAGGTGGTGTGTGGGGATAAAAGCTCAGATAGGTAGCTTGGAGCCTGGTTGTTAAGAGCTCTATAGGTCAGGACTAAAACTTTAAACTGAATTCTATATTCTACCGGGAGCCAGTGGAGGGACTGTAAAACTGGAGTGATGTGAGCTCGTCTGCTGGATTTGGTTAGGAGTCTGGCTGCTGCCTCTGTGGAGGAGATTTTCCTCCTTTCATGACCACATGGACCCATCTTCTGACGCTGCAAGATGATGGACCAGGTCACAAAGCTCAGACCATCTTCAACTGGTTTCTTCAACAACATGATGAGTTTACTGCAGCTCCAGTCCGGAACCTTTGAGATGTGGTGGAACAGGAGATTCACATCATGCTTGGAACTGAGTGATGCTGTCTGTCACGAACTCCTCCGGGTAACTACATTTCCCAGCATTCTCGCCACCACTTCCCAACATTCCCGCCACCAACGTGGCTTGCCGACGTCATCACGCCGACCTCGTAGTTCTGCTGTGTGGTGGAGAACTTCCGGGAAAAGTAAGTGCATGGGTCGAGCTTAGAGTCCTGGCCCAGTTGTGAGAGGCCAAGCGCTTACTTTTCCCGGAAGTTCTCCCCCACACAGCAGAACTATGGGGTCGGCGTGATGACGTCGGCAAGCCACGTTGGTGGCGGGAATGTTGTGAAGTGGTGGCGAGAATGCTGGGAAATGTAGTTACCCGGAGGAGTTCGTGACACTGTCATGTCAACATGGATCAGAACCTCTGAGGGACAGTTCCAACATCTTGTTGCATCAATGACATGAAGAATTTAGGCAGCACTGAAGTTGCCACCATAAATACTTGAGCTGAACAGCTTATGACAATATCACCAAGTCAAAACAGCTGGGTGTTTTGGTGTAGCTCCCCATCTTACACGTCAAACATCAGTCACTTTGGTTGACAATGAGGTGCTCTGTTGGGGCTTGAGTAGGCGCACCGACTAAGGTGCAAATAGTCTTGAAAAATATATTTTCTGTCTGGAAAGTCACACGAAGGTTGTTTCTTATGGTTTATGTGGGTGTGGGTGAATATTAATGATCACTGTCTGTCTGTTGACACTATATATACATACATATATATATATATATATATATATATATATATATATATATATATATATATGTATGTATATATATATATATATATATATATACATATACATATAATGTGAACACATGCAAGAAAGAGGGAGAGGAGGACGGATATTTTTCATGAATATGTTTAACGGCGTGGAGCTGTAATAAGCTCAAGGATGTGAGTGATAGTAGTGCTATCTGCACAGCAGGACTATGTAGCCAGTTAATGTTCAGAAGAGGGCAGAACAAATGATTCTACTAGGGCTGAAAGAGAGCAGCAACGAGAAGAGTAGGGGAACCAGGAGCCGGGGAGGAGAGGCACAATGAGGGAATAAGTAAAAGAAGCAAGCCAGATGACTGAGAGTGAAATGACACACACACACACATGTGCATGCACGCGCGCACACACACACACACAGAGGAAGATAAAAAGAGAGAGACCTGATTGAAAGATAAGATTGAAGGAAGACCTGAGCAGAGTAATGGGAGTGAAAGTGGGAGGAGAAAGGAAGAGTGTTGAATGAAGGTGGAGTGAAAACAGGGACAGACAGAAGCGAAACCACTCATTTTTGCTGACAGTCAGCACTGAGATCCATGAGCGAACAGCTAAATATAACCCAGAGATTCAACACTGAGAGGCGAGCACACAGGCGCAAAGCTAGCTGCATCCTGCAGCAATCCTTCGTGGTGTGCGGATAATTAAAGTGACGCACAATCGCCCTTTTCACTTTTGATTTATGTAGCATTAATAGCTTCCTCCGTTTTTTAAACAGCAGTACCGTTAAGCCATCCATACATAAGTCAGTTGTTTTATGTTCTTGGTTCATTTAGGAGTGCTTGTGAAAAGGGCAGGAATTTGTGCAATTTTTGTTATTTATTCTGTATTGTAGATTTTACATGACACAGTGGTAATAGCCTCCCTGTCAAGATCTGGGGATGTTTAGGAGCCAAATATGCAGAAACCCAGGATGACACGAGGCTGGGGAAGATGTTAAGTAAAATCCTTTATTTTAGGAGTAACCAAAAAAACAAAAGTAATCCAAAAGGCTGGGAGCCAAACAGTCCAAAGATCCAGATAGAGATCTGGAGATCCAAAAATACAAGAGGCATGAGATGACTAGATCCAAGCACTAGAGGCACGAGAAGAACTTGACAGAAATACAACAAACAACAATGGACCGACAAGACGCAGAGACAAGACAGGGCTTAAATAGACCCTTTTACTGTTTGTAAACAATATGACGTCAGCGAGAATATGCGCGCACAGCTTGGCAACAGAGAATGGCGTTGTGTCAGGCTTTATCAAGCTACGCTGCGGGGTTATCACCGGCAAATCTTGAATGTTATATTATTAAACTCACTTTAACGAATGGCAACAGACTCCCGGATCCCTGTGGCATTACGGAATGGGTGGAAGATGTAGGTGCGTGGCCAGATGTCCAGTGGCCCGATATATGTACGTTTTTAGTGGAGAGGCCCAGTAAGTACACACGTGAGAAGCTACGGGCATACAAATCATTAGATGCATACAACTATGTTGTCTGTGGCCACGTACAGAAAGTAAAATATCACGACATAGACTCTGAGTAAACACAGAAGGCACAAAATCAGGACTCGAGGAGTCCAATGACACCTCGCCTGTTAATAAATAGACTGCTTAAAAGCAAACCAGCAAACGCAACTTACTTTATTTAATAGAACACACGTTAACCAGCTTTCTGGTGTAATCTTAGTACATAATTACCTAACCTGATATAAAATGGCCGCTACAAACTCGAGCATTTCGGATCGTGTTTTCAGTCCAGTTTTCATCAACCCTTTTGATGGCCTGCAGCCACAGACGCCTCCGATTTTGTTGAAATGGATGTGCTCCCTTCGGAATTCTGTGAAGTTTCAGTCCACTGCTTGAAGAGAAGCGATTCTGGCATCCATACACGCAACAACCCGACATTTTTATGTGCTCAGAACTTCAAAACAAAGGGTTTAAAACGCTGTTTTAGTTTCGAGTGTGAATGAGGAAGCCTTCACTCTCGTTGCCAGGCTGCGCGCGCAACTTTTGATGACGTAGGTAGTAAAAGGGTCTATACACTGGGGCATAATGGGAGGCAGATGAGCTGCAGGTGTGTGGAGTGTGGGGGGAGGACCAGGTGAAAGCAATGACTAATAAGGGAAGAAACTAACATGACCTAAGAGTGAACCCAAAAACAGAAAAGCAACCATATAACTAAAATTCTAAAGGGAAGGAGAACTACAAAAACCGGTGGGACAAAACATATTAAAGAGACTAATAAAAATGAAAAGCTGAAACTATAAACGCTGCAGAGGGGTGACTGGAGAAGACTAAAGGAACACAGGAGACACATAAATGAGATGCAGACAAAGGACACATGAGGGCCCTATGAAACACAAAAGGAGAACATGGAGTGGGAACTGGAGGGGCTGGGGAACAAAGGGACACAGAACATGACACTCCCAAGAACAATTGAAATCTTTGTCAGGCTTTTCTGTGATGCGTTTGCATGTCCCCCCTTGTGTCTCTGTGTATTTTTGTCTTGTAATCTAACGTGAATGCATAAGGTTCATTTTGAGGTCTTTGGAGTGTGAGATCAAACAAGACAATAGGTTCTAGTAGGATTGTAGATAAATTTGGCAGAAATAAAAAATTGTTTTAAAACTACGTCAACATGCTTCAAATTAGTCTGCCCCCAAAACAAATCCCTCTTAAAGCTGTTCCAAGACTCGTCCTGCAGGGAACACTCGTAAAATATCAGCCATCGCCTGGAGGAACACATCATCAAGGTAATTACTTGTTTGTATTGAAGCAACATTCTCAGCAACACCAAAATTATTATCTGGCAGCCTCGTAGTAAAAATCAATGAACAATCCCACGAGTTGTTGCTTTGTTTTTGAAGCAGTGGCTCTTGAGTTTTAACTGCTAATTTTCTTTAAACTATCCAGCTGCAGATGTCATTTAAGGATTTTCTGGTCCACTAGTAACCCAGAAGTATGACCTCATCTCTCTGGACCTTGTTGATCCATGCATATAGGAGAACCTAATAAAGATGGAGTAATACACATAATGTATGTGTGTTACTCTGATTACTTGTTGGTGTTGAAAAATAAAGATATTAATGAAAAGAATGCTAAACAACAGTGTGTTCATCTTCATTGCTTCCTCCAACATAAAAGGTGATCCAAGCTAAACCTCTAGTGTAAATCATGGTGGCTAAATTTAATTATGCAATCAGTTAAATCCCCCCTATGGTCCCACTTCTGCTATACCTCTCTGTCTGTTATTGTGACTAGAAAACTTTTGTGGGTGTAGGAAGGAATCACCTCCTCCTCTGAAGGACGTTTTGCTTTACAGCCTTAAAATGAAAACACAAAAAAACATGTTTTACCAGCTTTACTTACCCAATGCAATCTATTCTTAGAAAAAACATCAAAGTTTCAGTTCTACTACTGAGATTAATAAGATACACCATCCACCACCCCAAAGCAAATAATAATAATAATAATAATAAAAAAGAAAAGAAACAATACTTTTAAACTCAGTAGAATTAACCACCATGTCCTTGGCAGACCAATGGTGGCTTCCATCTGTGATCAGTTGCAATCAATGTAATTAGTGGAGCATGAAAACAGCTGTTTCTGGAGCATTGTCTAGCTTGCAACTGACAGCAAACCACTGATATCTGTTTCACCTAGTTTGATCTTTTGTGCCCCCATTATGGGCTTGACACACGGGAGGCGACATCGTCTCTCCTCCATTCATTTTCAATGAGACGTGCGCGACAAAGCGATAATCGCGGGTCTCCCTCCTACCAAGCGAAACGCGAAAAACGTGCGTGTGAAATTTTGTGCTCGTGCACGTGTCGTGCACAGGTGACCCAGCGACGCGATCCCAGAAAGTTGAAACATTTTCAAGTTTTCATCGCTGTCGCTCGGACGAGGACCAATCAACGGAGGTTTCATTCACTGACCAATGAGAGGACAGGATGCTCCGTACATCTCCGAGCAAACATGGAGGAGAAGTTGATTATTATTATGTTTTGTAGTAAAATCAGAAGTAAGATTTCACATAACTCTAACAGCCCCTTGTGAAACATCATATCAACCGCTTTATTAACTCTGAACCGCTTAAATAACCTTAATTCCCTCCAACCTGACACAGCCAAGCAAAACAACGGAAGTTTCGATTTCGCCATGGAACAGAACGCGTAGACGGCTTTGCCGCTGGCCGCTGCTGCGGATCGCCTCCCGTGTGTCAGGTAATAAAAGCGACGGCGACAAATTTCGCTGATCGCGGTCGTTTGTCGCCTCCCGTGTGTCGAGCCCATTATAGATGCAAGTACTGCTATATGTGGTCAACTTGGTCAAAAGGTTTTGGCCAAAGGTGATGCAAATTAAGCCACTATGGGAGTGGACAGAGGTCCTCTTTACTGTACACACTGATTAATGAAAAAATGTGCATGAGTGAAAGTGGATTATTAAACTGCTGTTGTTGTACATGTGGTTTCACTTCAGTGACAATAATTGGGTCTGGAAGCCGATATAAAGGCTTCCTGTCTGCGTCTCCAGGATTAGGCAGCCATGAACACTAGACAGAAACCTTTGTGTCTTGTGTTACCTTGTGTCTGACGCTAGGATGATGGTGGGGACCATGGCCGGGCTTTGATACGATGTCTTAAATGAAGCAGAGGTCTTCACTGCAGCTGAATCAGGTGCTGCTGGTTTATGTTTGACTGAAGCTGATGGTCTGAGTGTTGATGAAGCCGGGGGACTGGAGGGCCTGGCCGGGACTGATGCGGGCTCAGGTTCAGGTGTTGGTAAGACGGGTGAAGAAGATGCACTGTCTGTTGGGATGGATGCCAGAGGGGGCAAACAGAGACGACTTCGGTGTTCATCTACCTGATTAGCTGGAACGTAGGTTATACTGAAAGTAGGAGGGAGGGGCGAAAACACGTTAAATCTTCTATTTATGTATTTTCATACACAGAATACAGGCATTTGTTCTGAAAAGGTAAATGAGTTAAAAGTCAATTTTAAATTTCAGCTTTGAGTTTGATTAGCAAAAACTCACTAAGACAAAAATATATGTATAAATATATAAATAAACCAAGTGATCAAAAATGAACTAATCATCAGTTAAAAGTTGTCGTTACCAGTTTTTATTTGCAGGAAGTTAACTTTTATGGAGACACAAAAAAACACTGTGAGTCATGTTTTTTGACTTCTCGAGTGCTTTCAACACCATCCAGCTGTCTTTACTGCTGCAGAAGATGAAGGAGTAGATGGACATCTGACTGCATGGACCATCAACTATCTCACCAACAAGCCACAGTACATGAGGCCGCACAACTGTACGTCTGAGGTGGTTGTGTGCAGAAGTGGAGCTCCACAGGGTACGGTGCTCTCACCCTTTCTATTCACCTTCTACACCTCAAACTTCACCCACAACACCAGCAGCTGTCACCTCCAGAAGTTTTCTGATGACTCGGCCATTGTCTGCTGTGTGTTGGAGGGAAATGGGGGGACTCTGTGGACCTCGTTGCACTTCCTGAGTCAGAGGTTCGACAATCCTCTGGGCCCTCCTCCCCAGAACCCCTGAATAGACTCTACCAGGGAGGCTCAGGAGTGTGATCCCCTGTAGTTGGAACACATCCTGGTTTTGTGTAAACAAAAGGTGAGCCAGAGTTTTCAGTATTTGGATTGTGATCTTGGAAGAAACAGGTTGAATCTAGAAGCTCAGTCAACCACTGAGAACATGCAATTGTCTGAATTTTAGCCGAGGCTGATTCACAGAAGAGGTAAAACCGTTTGATTCAGTTTCAGATCTAAAAGTAACAACACTGATACAATGATTCCATGAGTTCATGTGGATTGAAATTGATTTTTTTTTTTTTTTTTTTTTTTGCATTTTGCTTTCAAAATCACCCTCTGGAGCAAGATTTTACTTGTTGATGTGTGAAATAACTACTGGCTTGTCCCGGAAAATCTGAGGGGATTAGATGTTGCCGATTCTTCACTCCTGCCAACATTTGTTTTCTGTGTGTGTTGCTATAGACTGACTGGAAGAATGTTGCCAGCTCATCACGGAGTTGACAGAATAGAAGCTCCCACTCTTTTCAAAGAATTAGCTTAATTATTGTCATAGCTCAACTTAAATGCAGCACACGTGACCACGGTGACAGATATGTATGAGTAAAACTTGGAAAATTTGAATTGTTTTGCAAAAGTTTATTTATTTCAGTAATTTCACCTAAAATGTTAAAGTAATAATTGAGATGGATGATGCAAAGCCAGATATTTCAATCCTTTGTTTGTTATAATTGTGATGATTATAGCTAACAGCTTATGAAAAACCCACACAGAGCCATTTTTAGCGTTGTGGGGGCCCTATCTTGCCAAACTACAACTGAACCACCATACATCAGGCCTAGTCCACACGTAGCCGGATTTCTTTAAAAACGAATATCCGCCCCTCCAAAAAATTGCATCCACACCACCTCGTTTTAAAAGAAAACTCTGTCCACACGTACCCGGATAATTACGTTGTTAAGGACATGCCAGACCTGTAGGCGGCAGTACTTCCCCCGTTCTTAACCTCGTCCTTCGTCTGTGGTCTTCCACAAGGAGCAGTAATTCCGCTTGCAAAAACAAACAAGCAAAAAGCGCTTGGACAATTGATAAAGCGAGCGCAGCTCTGAGGGCATCCATGCTGTCGGCTAGTGTAAATACAGGTCGCACACGTGATGTCAGCATTTTTTGTCGTGGAAAGTGACGTTGCGGACCTTAAAACTCCGGTTTTGTCTGTCCACACGCAGACACCCGAAACGGAGAAAACGCAGATCTTCACTTTGGCCGGAGTTTTTAAAAAGTTCCGTTTTCGTGTGGATGACAGGCCGAAACGTAGAAAAATATCTACGTTTTGGCAGATCCCCGGCTACGTGTGGACAGGCCCTCAGATTTATAAACACACCACAAATGATCATAAATCAGTACATACAAGCAAAACACAGGGTAGCCATGATAACCTCTCATATTAAAACTAAACATCTCAAGTTGTCACTGAAGCAAGATGAATAAAAACTAGAAAGCACTTTAGAGAGTGTAGCCCTCCACTCAGACATATACAGTAACTTTAAAAAAAGTTTCTTCTGCCTAAATGTTTTTATTTTGTAATTATGTTGATTATTTCAATTTATGTATGTATGTATGTATGTATGTATGTATGTATGTATGTATTTATTTATTTATTTATTTATTTATCTCATTTCAGTCTTAAAAATGCCATAACCAGCCCATAACTTTATATTTCTGTCCGTCTGCTGACACAATTTCTATTTAAAAAAAATGTAAAATCTTAAATCAGATGTTAGTCAGTACTAACGTAACATTTTAACAAATGTTTTTTTTACTCCTACTTTTACTTGAGTAAAATATGTTTAAGAAATAGTGCCACTCCTTGAATACAATTTTTTGAAACTCACCCACCTCTGCTTGGGGGTTGTAGTGCTCGTCTAAAACGAGCTATCTGACCACTGCTATAATAGTTCATAAAACATTTAATTATCTTTAAATTAAGTCACTTCTCAAATTTTGTGAAAAAAATTGTCTAACTTGTTTGCTCAAAGATAATGATTGGCCCCAAATGAATCTGTAGAAAACAAAACAAATATATTCTTAGTTAAATGTAACCGGTGCAACTCTGTGACTTGTGTTTGGAAATTTGTTGCTTTCCCCAGTTTGTTCATGTACCCTACTCGGAAACTCCAATTTACGAGTAGAAAAAATTAACTGGAACACCTTTCCTAAGTTAGAGAATGTTTTTAAAACCAGTTTCGAGACTTAGCAGCACCTTGTAGTAACAATAGTATCTGTGGTGGAAACGTGTTTATTAAGTCGTTCACTGCCATTGACGACTAAAGTCGTCATTTGCATTTTTTTTACTGTTTGAGCATCGGAACGAGCCCCTGCGCTGAGAGAACAAACATCTCAGTCCTGAAGCCGATCTTCATCCGCATACGTCACAGATCACATGATCAGGAAGCAACGCATCCATTTTGGGCCGTTCCTGTAAAAGAAGTGAGGCGCGAACTGGAAAAGCGTCTGCCGATCACAATTCTACAACGGATTATGAAAGAACGGATAACGCTCAAAACGCGGCTTCTTCCTGATGTAAGAGGTCTTCTCTTTGTTTTGGTTGTTTTGGCATCGACATCATGCTAGCACGCAACGTTCTGTGACTCTTAAAAAACTGTAAAAACGGTGAGAAACGCTGGCAGCGAAGGCCGTTAGTGATCAGGAAACGGCTGGCAGTGAATGAGTTAAGATGAACTAATAAGCGTGCATCTAAAATCAACATTATGTGCAGTTGTACATTTTCCGAGGTACATGGAACACACCATGATGTTCGTCCTCCCCAGCATAGACATTAAAGAATGGACGTCGCACCGACCGTTACTCCTTATGGCAGCCGCATTTACAGGGTCTACTTTTTCTAAAGTCTATGGCTAACAGCATGGACGTAATTTTCACTTTAGAAGTGCAGGGGACACAGAGGGGTGGGGGGCTTTATAGTATGTTCTAATGGGAAACAGGCTTCAACACAAACGGTTGTTTTCCGCTTGGTCCTAGAGCTCAACCAGTGTCAATTTAATATAAAGTAATATTGTTTTTGGATGGTAAAAAGTGCAGGGCTCAAAAGTGGGGTACATGTCCCCCGTCCCTCCCAAAATTATGTCCATGGCTAACAGGATGTTTTAGCTAGGCTTTAGCTCCGTGGAGATCTGGAGCTCATGAACTACGAGAAAATGCCGTTCATAAAACCGCTCACACACGCCAGAATGAGCATGCTCACTTTAACGTTCGTCAGGCTACATTCACCAAAAAACCCCAAAACAAACGAGATCACGAACGGTAGTCCAATGCACGCGCTCAGGCACAACACTGCCTGTCTTTGGACAGCCTTCCCATGGACGTCTAATGTGTGACAGACAGTGGTTTTGGCTTAAATGTGCCATAAAATAGCCAAAGCTTATCTTACTGTGGCTTATTTTGCTATTATATCCAAATAAGGTATTTCTAATCATTTAAAGAATATAGGCAAATTATTTTGATCCTCATATGAGGACGTAGACTGCGGGAACCTAGGGAGGCCCTGTGCCTTTGAGTAGTCAGTGCATAGCAAGAAACGGCTCTGAGCCCACGATCAAAATCTCAGTGTGTCACACTCTAATCAGCTACTGAACCCAAAACACCTGCCAAGGGTTCCTGAGCCTTTAAATGGTCTCTCAGTCAAGGCTGAATTACTGAAAAAAATTCAATCAATCAATCATCAATCAATCAAAGCTTTATTTATAAAGCGCCTTCCGCAACCCTGTCAGGAAGCCCAAGGCTTTTGAAATTGACATTTGCACCATATTCAAGTGCTGGTGAAGGTCCTCTGTCATCCTTATTCTAATTGCTCTAGTTTCACCTGAAGTTTTGCACTATCCATCTCAGTAGTTACATGGTAAACAGTTCTGAAGTGGATTCCTGTGGAAGGGTTATGAATAGCTCTCACCTGTAGATAACTCATTAAGTAAAAAATGTGTAACTCGAACTGGAAGAGTCACATGAGACCTCTAGCTTTACTGCTAGGTACATCTGCAACATTTTAGGTAAATAAACATGGAATGACATTAGATCAGTTTAACTGTTTCAGGCCTAGTCCACACGTAGCCGGGTTTTTTAAAAACGAATATCCGCCCCTCCAAAAACTTGCATCCAAACCACCTCGTTTAAAAAAAACTCTGTCCACACGTAAAAGGATAAATACGTTGTTAAGGACATGCCAGACCTGTAGGCGGCAGTACTTCCCCCGTTCTTAACCTCGTCCTTCGTCTGTGGTCTTCCGCAAGGAGCAGTAATTCCGCTTGCAAAAACAAACAA